GAAAAAAAAACAAGGGGTTAGCCTTACATTTTTATCAAAATTTGGCCAAAAATTGACTTTTCTCAAAACAACGCAAAAATGCTGTGGAGACGAGTGGAGCATGAATCAATATTCAAACATTAATATTTAAGCAGAAATAGGCAAAAATTATCGGGTTTTTGGTGAGGAAATACCTAAAAATAAAAAAGAATTTTCACCGTTTTTGTCCGAAATTTTCCACCAAATTTTCTTTTGCAAGGCACATCTGTTCCCAAATCGAATTGAAATGTATTCAGGGTTACTTTAGGCATCTTTCCTGCAAGTTTCAAGGAATTTCATTTTTTGGCCAAAATTGAAAAAAAAACAAGGGGTTAGCCTTACATTTTTATCAAAATTTGGCCAAAAATTGACTTTTCTCAAAACAACGCAAAAAATGCTGTGGAGACGAGTGGAGCATGAATCAATATTCAACCATTAATATTTAAGCAGAAATAGGCAAAAATTATCGGGTTTTTGGTGAGGAAATACCTAAAAATAAAAAAGAATTTTCACCGTTTTTGTCCGAAATTTTCCACCAAATTTTCTTTTGCAAGGCACATCTGTTCCCAAATCGAATTGAAATGTATTCAGGGTTACTTTAGGCATCTTTCCTGCAAGTTTCAAGGAATTTCATTTTTTGGCCAAAATTGAAAAAAAAACAAGGGGTTAGCCTTACATTTTTATCAAAATTTGGCCAAAAATTGACTTTTCTCAAAACAACGCAAAAATTGCTGTGGAGACGAGTGGAGCATGAATCAATATTCAAACATTGATATTTAAGCAGATTTAGGCAAAAATCATCGGTTTTTTGGTGAGGAAATACCTAAAAATAAAAACGAATTTTCACCGTTTTTGTCCGAAATTTTCCACCAAATTTTCTTTTCCAAGGCACATCTGTTCCCAAATCGAATTGAAATGTATTCAGGGTTACTTTAGGCATCTTTCCTGCAAGTTTCAAGGAATTTCATTTTTTGGCCAAAATTGAAAAAAAACAAGGGGTTAGCCTTACATTTTTATCAAAATTTGGCCAAAAATTGACTTTTCTCAAAACAACGCAAAAAATGCTGTGGAGACGAGTGGAGCATGAATCAATATTCAAACATTAATATTTAAGCAGATTTAGGCAAAAATCATCGGGTTTTTGGTGAGGAAATACCTAAAAATAAAAACGAATTTTCACCATTTTTGTCCGAAATTTTCCACCAAATTTTCTTTTCCAAGGCACATCTGTTCCCAAATCCAATTGGAATGTGTTCAGGGTTACTTTAGGCATCTTTCCTGCAAGTTTCAAGGAATTTCATTTTTTGGCCAAAAATGAAAAAAAAACAAGGGGTTAGCCTTACATTTTTATCAAAATTTGGCCAAAAATTGACTTTTCTCAAAACAACGCAAAAAATGCTGTGGAGACGAGTGGAGCATGAATCAATATTCAACCATTAATATTTAAGCAGAAATAGGCAAAAATTATCGGGTTTTTGGTGAGGAAATACCTAAAAATAAAAAAGAATTTTCACCGTTTTTGTCCGAAATTTTCCACCAAATTTTCTTTTGCAAGGCACATCTGTTCCCAAATCGAATTGAAATGTATTCAGGGTTACTTTAGGCATCTTTCCTGCAAGTTTCAAGGAATTTCATTTTTTGGCCAAAATTGAAAAAAAAACAAGGGGTTAGCCTTACATTTTTATCAAAATTTGGCCAAAAATTGACTTTTCTCAAAACAACGCAAAAATTGCTGTGGAGACGAGTGGAGCATGAATCAATATTCAAACATTGATATTTAAGCAGATTTAGGCAAAAATCATCGGTTTTTTGGTGAGGAAATACCTAAAAATAAAAACGAATTTTCACCGTTTTTGTCCGAAATTTTCCACCAAATTTTCTTTTCCAAGGCACATCTGTTCCCAAATCGAATTGAAATGTATTCAGGGTTACTTTAGGCATCTTTCCTGCAAGTTTCAAGGAATTTCATTTTTTGGCCAAAATTGAAAAAAAACAAGGGGTTAGCCTTACATTTTTATCAAAATTTGGCCAAAAATTGACTTTTCTCAAAACAACGCAAAAAATGCTGTGGAGACGAGTGGAGCATGAATCAATATTCAAACATTAATATTTAAGCAGATTTAGGCAAAAATCATCGGGTTTTTGGTGAGGAAATACCTAAAAATAAAAACGAATTTTCACCGTTTTTGTCCGAAATTTTCCACCAAATTTTCTTTTCCAAGGCACATCTGTTCCCAAATCCAATTGGAATGTGTTCAGGGTTACTTTAGGCATCTTTCCTGCAAGTTTCAAGGAATTTCATTTTTTGGCCAAAAATGAAAAAAAAACAAGGGGTTAGCCTTACATTTTTATCAAAATTTGGCCAAAAATTGACTTTTCTCAAAACAACGCCAAAAATGCTGTGGAGACGAGTGGAGCATGAATCAATATTCAACCATTAATATTTAAGCAGAAATAGGCAAAAATTATCGGGTTTTTGGTGAGGAAATACCTAAAAATAAAAAACGAATTTTCACCGTTTTTGTCCGAAATTTTCCACCAAATTTTCTTTTCCAAGGCACATCTGTTCCCAAATCCAATTGAAATGCATTCAGGGTTACTTTAGGCATCTTTCCTGCAAGTTTCAAGGAATTTCATTTTTTGGCCAAAATTGAAAAAAAAACAAGGGGTTAGCCTTACATTTTTATCAAAATTTGGCCAAAAATTGACTTTTCTCAAAACAACGCAAAAATTGCTGTGGAGACGAGTGGAGCATGAATCAATATTCAAACATTAATATTTAAGCAGAAATAGGCAAAAATTATCGGGTTTTTGGTGAGGAAATACCTAAAAATAAAAAAGAATTTTCACCGTTTTTGTCCGAAATTTTCCACCAAATTTTCTTTTAAAAGGCACATCTGTTCCCAAATCGAATTGAAATGTATTCAGGGTTACTTTAGGCATCTTTCCTGCAAGTTTCAAGGAATTTCATTTTTTGGCCAAAATTGAAAAAAAAACAAGGGGTTAGCCTTACATTTTTATCAAAATTTGGCCAAAAATTGACTTTTCTCAAAACAACGCAAAAATTGCTGTGGAGACGAGTGGAGCATGAATCAATATTCAAACATTAATATTTAAGCAGATTTAGGCAAAAATCATCGGTTTTTTGGTGAGGAAATACCTAAAAATAAAAACGAATTTTCCCCGTACTGTCCGAAATTTTCCACCAAATTTTCTTTTAAAAGGCACATCTGTTCCCAAATCCAATTGGAATGTGTTCAGGGTTACTTTAGGCATCTTTCCTGCAAGTTTCAAGGAATTTCATTTTTTGGCCAAAATTGAAAAAAAAACAAGGGGTTAGCCTTACATTTTTATCAAAATTTGGCCAAAAATTAACTTTTCTCAAAACAACGCAAAAATTGCTGTGGAGACGAGTGGAGCATGAATCAATATTCAAACATTAATATTTAAGCAGATTTAGGCAAAAATCATCGGGTTTTTGGTGAGGAAATACCTAAAAATAAAAACGAATTTTCACCATTTTTGTCCGAAATTTTCCACCAAATTTTCTTTTCCAAGGCACATCTGTTCCCAAATCCAATTGGAATGTGTTCAGGGTTACTTTAGGCATCTTTCCTGCAAGTTTCAAGGAATTTCATTTTTTGGCCAAAAATGAAAAAAAAACAAGGGGTTAGCCTTACATTTTTATCAAAATTTGGCCAAAAATTGACTTTTCTCAAAACAACGCAAAAAATGCTGTGGAGACGAGTGGAGCATGAATCAATATTCAAACATTAATATTTAAGCAGATTTAGGCAAAAATCATCGGTTTTTTGGTGAGGAAATACCTAAAAATAAAAACGAATTTTCACCGTTTTTGGCCGAAATTTTCCACCAAATTTTCTTTTAAAAGGCACATCTGTTCTCAAATCGAATTGAAATGTATTCAGGGTTACTTTAGGCATCTTTCCTGCAAGTTTCAAGGAATTTCATTTTTTGGCCAAAATTGAAAAAAAAACAAGGGGTTATCCTTACATTTTTATCAAAATTTGGCCAAAAATTGACTTTTCTCAAAACAAAGCAAAAATTGCTGTGGAGACGAGTGGAGCTTGAATCAATATTCAAACATTAATATTTAAGCAGATTTAGGCAAAAATCATCAGTTTTTTGGTGAGGAAATACCTAAAAATAAAAAAGAATTTTGACCGTTTTTGTCCGAAATTTTCAATCAAATTTTCTTTTCCAAGGCACATCTGTTCCCAAATCGAATTGGAATGTGTTCAGGGTTACCTTAGGCATCTTTCTGCAAGTTTCAAGGAATTTTAATTTTTTGGCCAAAATTGAAAAAAAATACAACGGGTTAACCTTACATTTTAACCAAATTTGGTTAGAAATCAACTTTTCTCAAAAAAAAACCCGCAGAAATTCCTCTTGAGACGAGTGGAGCATGAATCACTATTCAAACACCGACAACCCAGTCCGAACAACCCAGTGCGTTCAGTGCGAAAAATACACTCATCCGAAAGAAAACCAACTTTCATTGAGCAACAACATACTCGTTTTCCAGACGCTAACTTCTTAAATACCTCATGTATCGAACTGAAAAAAGATATGGTGATCTGACATGATATACTACCATACATCTGTGAAATGTCAAAAGAAAAGTTAAAACAATTGAAATAGTATGGAACGAACAACCCACGGTGTTCAGTGCGTAAAAACACACTCATTCGAAAGAAGGTCAACTTTCATGTAAAAAAAACCCCAACATACTCGTTTTCCAGACGATAACTCTATAAAATACCTTATGTATCGAACTGAAATTACATCTGCTGATTTGACATGATATAATACTATAAATCTGTGAAATGCCAAGAGAAAAGTTCCTAGAATTCAAATAATATAGTCCAAACAACCCAGTACGCTCATTGCGAAAAATACACAAGTCCGAAGGAAAGTCAATTTTCATTGAACAACACAATACTCGTTTTCCAGACGATAACTCCAGAAATACCTCATGTATCGAACTGAAAAAACATCTGGTGATCTGACATGATATAATACCATAAATCTGTGAAATGTCAAAAGAAAAGTTCAAACAATTGAAATAATATGGACCGAACAACCCAGGGTGTTCAGTGCGTAAAAACACACTCATTCGAAAGAAAGTCAACTTTCATGTAAAAAAAAACAACATACTCGTTTTTGAGACGATAACTCTATAAAATACCTTATGTATCGAATTGAAATTACATCTGCTGATTTGTCATGATATAATACCATAAATCTGTGAAATGTCAAGAGAAGTTCCTCGAATTCAAATAATATATTCAAATAAAATACACTCATCCGAAAGAAAGTCAACTTTCATTGAACAACAACATATATACTCGTTTTCCAGACAATAACTCCAGAAATACCTGATGTATCGAACTGAAATACCATCTCGTGATTTGACATGATCTAATAACATAAATTTGTGAAATGTCAAGAGAAAAAAAAACATTTGAAATCATATAGTCGAACAACCCAGTGCGTTCAGTGCTTAGACCATTGAAAACTTGTTAACGCTTGATAATGAGAGCCTTCCAGTCTCCGTTGAAATACACCTGATCATCCTCTACCCTCTCTGAACACCTGTCGCTTCCAAGAAACTCCCTGACCTCCTGCAGGTGGCTGGGAGAGGCATCCCGCACGAAGTCAGCCACGTGGCTGAAGAAGTCCAGGAGCAGCCGACCATCGTCCACCATGGCTCCAGGCTCGGCGAAGCAGGGGGTGATGTTGGACCTCACCTTGATGGTGAACTCTTGGGCTACGGGGATGCTCTCCTTGTCGCAAGCTGCTTGGACCTCGGCGGACGTCGGATGGTGGTGCCTGTTGCCCCAGAGAAGGGGAAAGCTCTTCCCAAACTGCCCAAAGCCAGATTTATCTACGAAATACATGATCACAGATAGGGCTCCATTTCAGTGTAAAAGAACGTAATTAAAAGGGCGAACCTGTCTTCACAGGAACGGAGTGCCCATCTCTGTTTCATTAGCGATTGGGCCATACTCATATGCTGCTGTGGGGGGATCACCACACCTCCTCCACGGCGAGTCTGTTACCTTCCCAGCATTGAATAATGCCGGTACCCATTTAACACCTGTGTTGAGTTGAGTAATTGAGGTAAAGCGCCTTACTCAAGGGCACAACACGCATGGCCACGGCGGGGATCGAACCCACAATCTCACGATCATGAATCATATACCGCTAGACGGACCACACGTGCCCCCATCAGTGTAGTAAACTGGACAATAGGCCCTATATGTTAAGATCTTTTAAATATATCTGAGCTTAGGTGGTACATCGGCAGCTCATGGTGACAGCTACAAAAAAATGGTTGGATTAATTTAGACAACTGTTGGTGACCAGCCTTCCCGTGAATAGTCGAAAGGCGTATTTGCCGCATCACTATGTTACGTCATGAACCAACCATACCAAATCATTGGTTGAACTGTCTCATAATGTTCCGATTGGCGTTTTAAGTTTCATATTCACGAATCGTTAGAATCCTACCTGAGATCACCACAACCAGCATCATGCCCCCTGGTTCCAATCTGCAGAACAAATTCTTGAGAGATGCCTGGAGATCTTCTGCGTAATAGATGGAGTGCAAGGAGCTAATGAAATGGAACTTGGTGGCCTTGTTTCCTTCCGTATAGCCATCCAGTGTTTGGGTCTTCCAGTCGTAGGTCATTCCTTGTTGTTGGGAAGCATCGGCCGACACTCGCGCCTTGTACTTGTCAACCATATCGACGGCTGGTTCGACGACTGTCACGTGGAAATTCTTATATTGCATTTTCTCGTCATGGAGGACTCTTAAAATGCCGTTCTCAATTTCACCTGGAAAAAAAATCAGAACAACTCTGAAAGTCCAGCCTTTAATGGGTTATTAGTTTCACATCAAACTTCAGAACTAAACATCGTCAGAGTGAAGTGATTCTGCAAGAAACACAGGAGCAGCTCAAGACAGTCGATCAATTAGACACTCAAGAAAATCAAAGGATAGCACTCACCATCTCCAGGTCCAACGCTGAGTACTTTCAAGACATCCTGGTCAGCCAGAGCGACGTTAAGATCTTTGAAGATTTGAGGGAGTTGAGAGTCCACCCAGCGGCCCATGACGTTGTTTCTGTCAGCCAACCGGTGGTAGACTCCAAAGGCCTTGTGGTAATGCTCCATGTCGTCTGTCAAGCTCCGCATTGTGGCACTTGGTCTAGAGGAAAATTGGGAGGATGCTTTTGAAAATTTCGGACTGTCCACTGAGAGGGCGGGCGGGGCAACTTTGGACTCAGATGATTTTGGAGGAATTATCCAGGGCAAAGAAATTGGGACAAGGAGCTTGGAAAGGAGTTTGGCCATGGGAGAAAGGCAAGGGGTTAAAAGGAGGGGTGGTCACCTTTTGGGATATGGAATGACAAGGGTAAAAAGATTTCACGTCAGGCGATTTATCAGTTTCCATACATTAATATATGCTAGTAACAGTTTTACAAAGGCCTGTTTCGGGGCTGATTTTCTTAAGAAATCAATGTACCAAAAATAATTGCAAATTTTAGATTTGGCACGTTAATTTTGCCATTCAAGGGTTTCAGAAGCGCGCCACCAGGAGTGAACTTTCAGGCTCTATCAAAAACTTAAGTAAATGCTGGGAAGTATTTACTTTGGAGTAAATAAGCATTAAGGAAAAACAAATGGATCATTGATAATAGCACTTTAATTGTACCGTTCAGCATTCACCAGACAGCCGGTAGCCAATGTTTCTTACTGTTGGACGTGTGGGATGGGGTACAGGAGGGGTCAGGGTAGCATTATAAGGTCACAGATGAGTTCAAAACATTTTGGTTGGACCAGCATGGCAGTATAGAATAATCATAGTTGGACCTTGGACACATCAGAAATTTAGTTTAAAAATTGTGTAGGCCTACGACGTGAGGGAGACCCAAGTTGATTCACAGACACGCAAATATATAACTTTGGCAAATTAAGGACGGAATGGGACAGAAAACAATCTTGACGAAATAGATATCTGAAAAAACCCTACCAACAAGACAATCCACTGTAGAATCGACAGGTAGCTGTCAGACGTGGTAGGCGGAAACACTGCACGGAGATCGTACGGATATGCCTTATGAGAATTATCGTGCACTTCGCTCGCTGAACAACATGATACAATGGTGGATCACGGCATGCACGGGCGTACCTAGATAAATGTAACGTACGTGTACGTGTACATGTGCTGGCTGGCAGGTCCCTTAGGTTAGTCGACCTCCTGGTGACCCCATCAACGATCGAGTGTACGTGTGCGCCAACTCTGCTGGTTTTCGCATTGCCGAAGATGATAGTCTATAGAAATAGAAATATATAGAGACTATAGCACCAGACGTGCCAGATGTTTCTTTTGGCACAGTTGTTTGATGCAGTACTGAAGCGGTGTTGGACTGGTAGTTTCAGGTGCCATGTTTTCAATTGCATGTTTTGCATGTTTGTATTGCATGTTTTCAATACCTTAAGTTTTGGGACTCTCATACACGTATTTTGAGTCTCAAATTTTCGGACTGGATGTTATTCGGCTTTAAACCAACGTGCTGTTGGTGGAAGACACCACAGCAAAGAACGCAGATCGCGGGCACTAAATACTTTATGCATGATAATAGTCAATATTTTATAGACCATACCGAACCGAACTCGGCATTCGCAAAACAGTCAAAAACTGAGAGTAAACTTTAGACATTCACCCGACTGGAAAAGGTCTCACTGATTGACCCGGCCATGCATAATGTTCGTAGAGCGTGTACTGCATTGATGTGAGCGATGCGAAGAGCAGGTGGGGTTGGATTTGCTTCGGAATGCATGCTTCGGGACAAAAATGGCTTGTAGGAGGGGAGGTGATACGAGGGATAATGGGGGGGGGGGGGTAGGCGGGACAAAGTGGGACTGAGTGTGCTGCAGTGTGATAAAGGTCGGGAAGAAAGGGGAAGGGGAAGGCACTGTGAGACTGGGTGGGGTAAGTTGGGAGGAGTCAGCCTGGGGCCGGGTAAGAAAGGAGAGTAGACCTCACAGGGGACAGGCATTGTGGGGCAGGGAGGGCGGGGCAAAGTGGGACGTGGAGTGTCTGGATTAAAGGGGTAAAGACGATGGGTGGGTACTAGGGCGAGAGGTTGGGAGGAGCTATAAAATAGGGATGGCTAGCCAATTAATGGGCGGGGATCAGGAGGTGTGGCATTGGGAAATGGTATTGGAAGGTGAAGAGTTGGGTGAGGAATTAAGAAAAAAGGTGGTACCAACAAAAAAAGGAATTAAACATTAACCACCCAAAACCGGGCAGATGTCTTTTTCTTTAACAGTTACATTAACGTGGGATATGGAAGGTACCATAAGAAAATGCCGAGGCTTTATACATAACTGGGGCCCAACACAATTTTACCCCATGTGCCTGTGGTAAAAGATATACTCAGCGAATTACTTGCCCCAAAGTCGCGGCTGTGTATGTGCATGACGCTCAGCGGTCGAGAAATTCTATTTTTAAACAATAATACTGCATGTAAACAAACACGACACACTACCGTTGCACTGTGCATCATTATTTTATTATACATGCATAAGTCGTGACACAGTATTGATGCAATGTTGACATTTGTATCAAAGTGAGGTCACCCAACACCTTTCCAAAAATGGCTTTAATGATGCAAAATGAAAGGCCACAGATACGCAAATTTAGCATGGAAAAACCTCTAGCCAATGAGAAGTGTTGGGGCGCTGGGAAGTCAGCCTAGCGCTTTAGCGGGAACCGTTATCGCGTGGTCATTCTGTCACAGCCAGTCGAAGCGTATTAATTTTAATCTTGCAATAACTTGACACGCATACAGAAAAGGGTGGACAAAGAAATAGTACAAATAGTTTGTGCATACAGTGACAACTAAACTTAATTTAGAAATCATCAAACTTGTAGGAAGGATCGTAGGTCTATAAATGAAATAAATGAAATAAAAAAAATTAGATATTAAAAACAAGACCAAATATAGCGTTGACCACAGACTTGGAATGTATCCAAATACACATCCCCATCACTTAATTATACATCATAATTGATAGGACCTGATATTTTTATTGACATGATACTGAAACTGTCCGATTTTATCTTTTAAAATTTAAAAAAATAATGTCTTATGAAATGCTTTTTATCTTACATTTTAAACAAACTTGAACGTATCGCCTACACATTTGGTAGCCATATTCAAAACTACACTATCCATATTTAAATGCAAACAGAAGTTGAGTTTCTTGTGCGACGATTATTCCTTGGTAAGTTTTACTTTTCAATAATAAATGCCCTCCAGTCTCCCTTGAAGATAACCTCGCCTCCGGCCCCTCTCTCAGAGCACTTGTCACTCCCCAGAAACTCCCGTACCTTCCGCTGCAGATCGGGAGGGGCGTCCCGCACGAAGTGCCCCACGTGGGCGAAGAAATCCAGCAGCAGGCTGCCTTCCTCAGAGAGGTTTGGAGGCTCAGGGAGGCAGAACCCGATGTTGGAGCGCACATTGATGGTCAGCTGGCGACCTAGGGGAATGCCCTGGCTGGCGCATGCCGACTCGATCTCGGCCGAGGTCGGGTAGGGGTCTCTCATGCTCTGCAACCCCGGGAAGCCCTTCCACACCCGACCCATGCCAGAATCCTCTTCATTTTTGGGTGAAAATAAAAACCAAAAGAAGGAAGATTCATCAATTGTTGAAAATCAACAGGTGTTCGTGAACAGGTGAACACTGTCCTCGTATAGGCCACGCAGCGCCATTTATCTGTGACATTCTGTAAATCTAGAGTCCAAAAATGTGACTTTATTGCTGTCCCTGGTACGTACCTCTGAAGTTTGTAATTTGCCATTTAGAGTATCATTAATTACTTAAAACTATATACATGTACTTTGTCATTTGCTAAGTAGGTCGTTAGCATAGTCACTCCAAGGGCGGATCCAGAACACAATTTTTGGGGGGCCAAAAAAAAATTTGGTGCCCCAAAAAATTACGGCGTGGGGTTCGGGGCCCGCTTAAGGGCCCCGAAAAATTTTTGGATTCTAGATGCTCTGTGGTGCGATCTGAGGCAATTTGTGACCACTTTAACCAATGTTTTTTTGAGGAAAAGATGGTGGTGTACTCATTGCCTGCCTTTATTGCGATGTCACATAAAAATAAAAAAAAATTGGTTTCGTTTGGGGGGGGGGCATGGCCCCCTTTGGCCCCCCCCCCCCCCCCCCCTGGATCCGCCCTTGAGTCACTCTAGAGATTAAAAAAACTCAAAACATGTATCCAGAATATACCCACATAGGCCTATTACGAAAATAAAACAGGAACGGAAAAAACAGTGGCTCCGAGTCTTAATATTGACCTATCGCCGTTTGCGAGTTAGCCACGCCCCTTAGACAACCCTATGGAAGTTTTGTACCCTAAGTTTGGTTTGTCTCAGATGTTGCGCGTTCCGCGTCCATTTGTATATCATGTGATTGGACAATATTTCACTAGCTGCGTTGACGCGATTCTAACGCGATTCTACGGCGATTTGTCAATTGACCAATCACAGTTGCCAGCTCCATGTGATTACTGGACTGACTAGTCACCATTACTGGGATCATATGAAGCTCCATAGCTCACTAATTGGTATTTCTCACAATGCACCCCCTTTTTCATATAGGCTAGTGACGTGTCCTAAGCTACATGTATACAGCACGTGCGATGGGCCTTCAGGCCTAGAAAGTTTACCATAAGTGGCTACAAGAACCTCAAAATCTGATTGGTGTACAGAGTGCCCAATCGAGAGTTCAGTTCTTCAAGGAGGTCGTACCTGCTACTAGCACAATCAGCATCAGCCCACCGGGTTCCAGCCGGGCGTACAGGTCCTTGAGAGACGCCTCAAGGTCCGGCACGTAGTAAATAGAGTGCACGCTGCTGATGAAGTGGAACTTGGCGGCGTTGGCGGCTGCGGCCTGGTAGTCCTCCAGCTTCTCAATCCGCCAGTCGAAGGTCGTGTCCGGCAGCTGAGCCGCTGGATCGGCGACTCGCTGTTTGAAACGGTCCGTCTGGTCGGCTACGGGTTCCAGAACTGTCGTGTGGATGCGGGGGTGTGGTTTTCTACAGCCGTGGAGCACTTGCAAAATCTTCGTTTCAATAGCTCCTGTAATGCCAATTAAGTGATGTCATCCTGACGTACAGTCGACATTAAAGACATACAGGATCATTTGCATTTGTCCCAAGAGTAACCAACCGAATTATCATCAAAAGCTTACTTGGACTTATGACAGGCATGCAACTGGGAAGTCACAAAAAAGGAGGATATTCAAATGTTTCCAAGACTTTGTACAGTGTTTTTCTATTTTCAATGGCACACATGGCAAGTAAAAAAAGAGGAAATCAGCTGATCCGAGGAAAAGTTGCATGCCTGTTAAGATCGTACTGGTACTAAACATTCTGTGAAATTATTCCGTCTGGCTTGCTGTCGTTTAGATAAAATCAGACAAGATAAGTTTGCGGTAGCACCATGTGAATACATTTCTGTATGTGTGGTTCTGAAAAAAACCCGAAGGGTTCTTTTCCGGTTCTTTTCAGAACCACACATACTCAGAAAAGAGATTTATTCACATGGTGCTTTATACCGCAAACTTATCTTGTCTTAATATGATCTTTCCACCATGCAAACCTTCAAATCTCATCTAGATAAAATCAAATTGAGAAATGTGTAGAAAATAGGTGATTTTGACAAAATCATGCTTCGTGGGCAAAAGGATGCAGTGTGCATGGATTTTCAGTTTTCCCAAAAAGTGCAATAGACATTATCATGTTGCGGCCATGTTGATTTTTTCCCATTCAAATCAACGTAACCGAAGCGAGGCTGGAAGGAAAAATAGTCTGGTTCCTCTTTGCACAAAAAACAATATCATTCTATTATTGGATACAGGGAGCATTAATGGTGGCAGCATGATAAAAGTCTTTATCCACTGAGCTGAAACTTCAACAAGTCATAAGTTTTGAACATTTGTCTGAGGATTTTGAGTGGATTTTGATCACACCGAGGAGACAGGATCGGTAATGGCTTTCGGCAATTAACCTACCTTCGCCCGGTCCGATACTGAGAACCCTCAGCGGCTCCTGGCCGGTCACACCGGCGGTCCATCCGTTGACGACCTCCCTCAGTTCTTTCTCCACCCACCGCCCCAAGACCTTGTCCCGCTCGGCGATCCGATGGTAGATGCTGAAGGCCCTGTGGTACAGGTCCATGTCATCTGTCAGGCTTCGCAACGAAGACATGGCGGCTGGCACACTGTCTGCAGTTTTTCAGGCGAATTTTAACTAGCTAACGGACTAGTAAAATAAAATCCACGGATTACAATACACTCATGTGATCTCGCTTCAGTGTGTCCCCGAGTACCACTATTCGCGTACGTGGTAGGCCTGCATGTACTTTGACCTCAGAATTTTGTTCGCTGAATAAAAAACTACACCTTAACCTACAGGGAAAATTCAGAGGAGCACGGACAGTGTCGCCGTCTGCAGACCGTAGTTGGATTGGCTTTCATGAAAACGGATACGTACATGGGTTCAACGTCATTGCATTCTACGGAGTCTCCACTGTGTCCTACTTAATACTAATAAATGAAGACATTGAATTGGTCGAGAATAATCGGGTCAAGTTTTTTTCGCACAGGATTGTGCATTAATTAAAGCAGCCTGTCCCGTCCATTGGTCTTGGCTACGATTGCTATTTGATTTGACATGCCGTCAGTGGTGTAGCCAGGAATTTTTCAGGGGGGGGGGGGCGCTGGGGGGGGGGGGGGGGCTGGAACATTTCATGGGGGGCGTCATGTAGATCAATGATATTTTTTTCAGAAACTCAAATCTCAGTGGGGGGGGGGCAACTGGGGGGGCGACAAGGTTTCATGGGGGGCTGTCGGCAAAACATTATAGTAGAGTGCTTTTGTGAGTCATGAGATGATACTGAAGGAATGACTCTAATTGCTTTAGTTACAGGCCAATATCGACAGTACTAGACCTACAATCGGTGGGTTGAATACACGCGTCCATTGTCGACATTGACAGGCTGCAGTCTACACCCATAACAGCGTACCCAATACATGGATATAGCTAGCCTAAAACCACTAACGACCACTCAACATTCACATAGCATCCATCCCTACAGCCTGTAACATAGTTATTTCCCATTGACGAGTCCTGTGGGAGATGTCAACTGAACATACCTCATGTGCCCGGGATCACATTTCACTGGACATTGTAGAAACTTACCCGATAATAATGACAACAGTGTCGGCAACCAGTTGTTTTACTTGAGGCCGATGGTCCATTGAGATATGCGGACCTTTGGTGTTGCTCAATGCTCACACCAAAATTAATCTCTAACCACAATCAATCTAGGTCCATTTATTTATACAGAGTCTGCATCGGGAGACTTTGCCCTGCCACACGTTTTGCACTGACCGTTTGTGGCTGATTGCATTGTGTATATTATGTATTTTGTACAATCGTATGATTCGTATGGTAGACTTCGCAAAAGCACAGATCTGGTACTTGAATCTAAGTTTCAAATAAACCAAAGGGCAAAATGACTACATGCATATTTTGGCCGATCGGGTACAACCCATTGTACAACCTTTTAGAATTGTTAGAATAAAGCTTTCTTTCTCTCTTTCTTTCCGTCTTTTTTTTGCGGACAATATTCTCCGCGAATTTTTTTCAAAACATTTAAGGGTATAACTTCATATGCATGTACTAGAACATACACAGGCTGGCTCAATACTTCCACTACCTTGCGACTCGAACCTCCTCTGCCAATGGATTGAGAATGTTTTAGAAGAAAATAACAAGATTTCCCGGTTCGGTCCAGTAGCTGCGAGTCTATATTTTGTGAAGCACACAGCTTTATGTGGGTATATTATTACACAACAATTAATCCCTCTTTCCAATTAAGTCAAATTCGCAGGCGCGGTTTAGTAATTCATCGGGACAAAAATTAATGACTCCCGACTTTGTTTCACAAAATAGGCTCTAGAATCTAGCGGCACATCAAATACATTTTAAAGGGAAAATACAACATTTGCAAACATCAAAAAATAAAACTACCAAATCATTTTGAAATACCTTGCTGGACTGTTAGTGAATGACAGTGTAAAGCATCCTGTAAAATCATGGCACCTGGTATACTGTCATTTTCAAGAAAAGTGGTATTTTTGTATCAATTTCCAACGCTGATCGGCCGATCAGCGTTGGAAAAAACTGGCTTTTTTTCAAATACTGGCCCCAGTTGACCATCGCACATGTTTGCAATCGATTACACACCTATGAACGGGTACAAGCCAGCTAGACTGGTTCCCTGACCTTAAAATTCCCCAAAATATGTAAACTGCTCTGTTTCTTCTTAAATGGAGTCAGGGAACCAGACTACAGGAAAATGATTGTTTTTCTTAGTTTTTATAGCATTTTCGAACCTAAAACCTCAAAAAAGTGAGTGTAACTATATTTGCTATATATTTCCAACCCCCCAATACCATCCATTTCTGAAAATTACAGCAAAAGCAAATGATGTATATTCCCTTTAACTTACTTGAATTTAACATTTCGTTAGTCAATTTGTTTTTCATATTGCTCCTAGACAACCGCAAGTGACTTTGCAAGGTTTCAAAATCATGACGTAATCAGACCGGAAGTTATTGTAGAAAGAAGTTGAAAATGATCATTTTTTTCCCGTTCGCAATAAAATTCCAATCCACCATTTGATCACTTTGTAATGACAATGTCCGTACCACAAAATAATGATACCCAGTACAATGATGACCTTGGGTTTCAAAATGCCGTGACGTCATCGAACATGACTCGTAGGTGTTGTTGATACATATACTTAGATATTCATTATAATTCCCACATACAGTCAAAAAATGGAACCCAAATATCGGGACCATTGTTTCAGTGATGTTTTCCATTTAGCAATTTCAAAATCAAGGATAGTAAAGCCCAATTCATAAGCTTCCTTTTGGTACAAGAATCATTCAAATCACTCATGTACTTTTCAAGTTTAAACACAACCATGAGTTCTGTCCACGGATCACAAAAAAAGTGTGCGTTCTTTCAGGAAACAAAAACAATTCACACACATCCCTAAGTGCAGTGGCGTCGCCAAGGGGGGGGGCCAGGGGGGGCACGTGCCCCCCCTGGAAAACCTAGTGCCCCCCGAGTCCCCCCCCCCCATCTGAGATTTGGGTTGGTAAAAAAAAAATTCTGCGCGTTGTTAAAATCATTACCTCGAAAATAGCAATTTCTGGAGATATCTTCAGATCGAATTTAGCATCAAATGTGGCACCATTTTGCATCTAGCCCATCCTCCGTATGCGAAAATTTTCCAAAGAGGAGGGGGGCACCCCCTCCCCTTAGACCCCTCCCCCAGGACGGCGATCCGTATCCACCTAAGTGCCCCCCCCCCCCCCCCCCCCCATCAAATGCTGGTGCCCCCCCTGTGCCCCCCAGACTGAAAAGTCTGGTGACGCCACTGCCTAAGTGCAACTGGGGAATGTCCTATGAAAAAAAAATGCGGCCCTATCACCCAGCGTTTGTAACTTCAGAAACGCGAATCTTTAGTTAATCGTTTGTTAAGTTGAAACAAAGAAATTGAAGGAGGGGCGAGGTTCGAAGCCTTAAAAGGCAAATTACAATAGTTGCCATGCGATTGAGTGGTTACCAATAGTCTTGGGGTAACTAAGGTTAGGGGTAACCCTTTTAAGTATACTTCCGACCGTCTCAAGATTTCCCGATTTCATTATCATGCACAAGTGAAGCAAATTAGCAAGTAAACGAGTTACGTAACCAACATTGGTTCAACCTCTGAGCAAATTATGATCGGTGCCATGGCCTGGCCTCCGCCTACGGGCCATTGTATGGGGCGATGAGTAAACAAAGACGCAGATTTTTTTTTCTCATCAAGTTTGACATCCTCCGTAATCTCCGCAAACATCTTTCACTCTCGATGATGCTGGAGTTATGATTGCCAGCCATGGTTACCTCGCAAAGCACTGGTGAAGAACAGAGTTTCGCAATGGCCCTTCGAAGATAGTCTTATACCAGAGATCGACTATTTCTAGACGTTGATGACGAAAATGGTGTTGAGACGATTTTTCATCATGCTCTCCCGAAAGGTTTGTGGCATTACTCACATTATTTTATTTTGTTAACAAGCAGATATTTTCGAATGACAAGCCCTTCGGATGTTTTGATACATGCATACTTATAGGCCTGTTTCAAATGAAATGCGAGTGGAAGTTATAAAGAGATATTATTTTATTTTATTTTTTGAAACGGGGATCAAACGTGCCACGTGACGGCCATCTACATGTAAAAAGTTCCTTTTGGGGTTAAAATGGTATCGTTTGCGACTTATTGGACCTTTGCACCATTTCGTGGTCAAATATCGTATGCCGTTAATGGACACAAGATTTTGGGGTTAAATATGAAATTATCCTTAATCACAATGCTTACTTTAAAATCGTATTAGATTTCGATCCTTGCAAATGTTGAAAGGTTTTTATTCTGTCATATTAAAGCTACAGTCCATCATTTGTAATTTGTGCATTTTGTTCGTTTGAAGAAACAAAAGAGTTCAAAATCTAATCAAGGATACTGAGCAACTAACCTGATGAAGTTTCAGCTAAGCTTCAGCTGTACATTCCGAGAAAAACAGCATTCTAAGATCTCAATTTCAAATCAAAAGTTACTGAATCATGTTTTGAATTGTTTTGAATTGCAGCTTTACGCGACGTCGCGCACTGATCCGACGAATTATAACAACCGCGCGCGCGTGTGCGTCGTTCCAATACTTGTTCGCGCTGCGCTGAATAACAAAACGAACTACTAATTTAAATTTTCCTACGGTGCTTCTTAAGAATCACCGTTGGAAATGCCTTCTTTCGTTGATTACTTCAAAATGACAGCTTCCCAGAAAGAATAATTCCACAGGGAGTTTAGTTCCCTTACTATCTTTCAACCAAGTTTGTTTTTCAACAATAATTACGCCAGTTACTTTTCGGATGGCTGCAAATGATGGACTCTAGCTTTAAACTTGGCCAGTACAAAAGCGATAACGTGAATATTCTTTAACATTATTTTACTAGTCAAATTTTTGCCTGATAAAGCACAACAGTCAATTTCCAGTCAGTCGAAGTCCCATATACTGAATCCCAATTGCTTGCTATAATTTTCGACGACTTTAAGAACATTTTAAAATTATGTTTCCATCATTATTGTTATCTTGAATTATTATGCGCCAAGTTTTGCAATTACTCTCCTTATCCCGCCGCATATAATAGGGCCCTATTTATAACATTGGTAGAACTACAACGTTTTGCGCATAGTAATTATAATACAACCACTAATTACTAATTAGACATAATCACTGACGATATTATGGAGATTATGGTGTTGGTATGCATGCGTTTCTAATATTGGAACACTAAATACAAAAGGCTTAGCCGCACAATTATGTGCATGTGTTTGGTTTCACAGACCAGAGCTACCATAATGAACACGCCTTGTGTAAATGTTATTCCGACTGCCATATTTTCATCCTTGAAAATCAAATTGTATTTTACTGCGGGTAGATTTGACTTATGCCAAAAAGGACCTTTTTTCCGTTAGGAGGCGAGTTTATACCCATAAGGTTTTTTTTTTCTCTGACATGATCGCATGCCTTCCGGTGCCGTTACAGTGTGCCGGATCGCGGTATGCACTAACCTATGGCAGCAGCGCCCATTAGGATGTTTGGATGGAGCGGAGCCATCAGCTTAAAGTCAAATTTACTTAATGTTCAGAAGACGGCATACCAAGCGCGATAATGACTTGGAGTCGTGGTCACTTTCGTTCCAGCGGTAAATTTGCAAGAATAGGCCAAAAATATAAGTGCATAGCAGGCATAATGTATAGCTTTTTCAAAATGTCTCAAGTGGTTATGTTTTCAAAATGGCATTGTAAACCACGAGGTTGCACGGGAACTTGGCACTTAATGACATTCCAACCAAGCTTTGATCAATCCTTGGTAAGATGTCAAAGGCAGGCAAATATTGACGCAAGCAGTCTTCTTACGGCATTCACCACGGGATCAGAATGTTTACCAAGGGGGCGAGAAGTCAAGCAATCTCCCGGCATGGTCGTCCACTTCCTTTATTTGTCTTTATTCTCTCCTGGAGGATAACGCTCTCACAAGTACGTCTCTAAGTTACCGTGTGCCTTCAAGTTATTAACGCGTGGTTACCAAACTGTAAATTGCTCATACGTTTTCCCAATTTACACATGTCACAGCAGCTACGCAAATATTTCTTGTGCTTTGTAAATTTGTGTGCTTAAGCAGTAAGGCACTGACCGTGTCGTTGCATGTCAAAAAGGGTACAGAACAGTGCATAATGTGCATAATGTTCCCCAACCCTAACCCTAAGGATTTTGGGAAACATAGGTATTGGGGAACATCGAGTAGACCCCGGTACAGAATATAGAGCTAGTCTCCCCCCCCCCCCCCCCACCCCCGTGCTGAATCTAAGCCTCCACACAGTCCGGCAGTCAACAGTCCGACAGTCTCCTGATGACGAACAGGGCACACTTATCGAAACGTCGAGTTAAACCAACTGGTTCTTCTCAGAACCACACAACTCAAAAGATATATTATTCGCACGGGTATTACTGCAAACTTTCAAATTTTCATGTTTTATTCGTGTCCCTGTTAGATGTGATAGAAGATTTTCTATAAATTCAGGACATATTCTTTATTGCCCTCTATCCTATTAAAGTGTCGTATTTTTAGCTGCGGGAAAGCAGCTCTACAGGTACTCAGGTCTCTCCATTGGTTGGCTTGTTGGTTGGTTGGTTAGTAACAAACTTCACCAGATGCCTTTTTGGCAATAAATCACATTGAGCATAGGTCAATCTTCACAGCGGCTTTTACAACCCATTAATTTTCAGTATTTACTTGTCTTTGCTCCGTTATAGGCTTTATGGAACAAGACAGCAGTGGTTCTGGGCTGCCTTACCGGAGCGCTCCTGTGGATGCTAACGTCTGGAGTAGTCAACATAAGCCTGGGTATTGCAGACGGAGCATCTACAGATGCGAACACTGACAGATTCCAGCAGCTCAGACACGCTCCATCAGTTGGATCACTGATAGGTAAGCGACTGATTGAGAGTATGTACCATCCAGTGCCGACAACAGGGTGTGTCAAGAAAGTCCTCATCTTCGGGGAGATGAAGGACATGAAAGATTGGCCGGAGCTCCAGGCCATCACGGCGATACTCCGTGAAGATGTTGCTACAGGTGCGTGGAGTGGGAGAACTGAGTGTCCAACACACAACTGTAACATCTCTTTGACTGTCAGTGCCAACTTGTCTCTGATAGCCGGGATGGATGCCGTGGTCCTAGGCATGCTTCCCAAGATCTTTGAGACACACCTCAAGGACTTGATTCGGATCGAGCCACCTAAGGGACAGACCTGGATATACTTCAGCACCGAGTCGCCTTTCAGGGTCACCAAGTGGTCCAAGTCTTTCGCCTTACGCCAACTGAAGTACCACAAGACGATGACATACCGACGAGACTCCGACGTCTACCTCCCATTTGGTTACTACAGGGAGTTTCTCCCCAACGAGAACCGGATGATACTCAAAAAACACAATCACGCACTTGGGAAGGAAGACCTGATAGTGTGGATAGGTAGCAACTGTTTTGAAGTGACGTGGCCACGGATTCCATTCATTGATAGACTGCAGGAGCTCCTTCCGCTCAAGACTTACGGCAAATGCGGGAACTTGACGTGCTATCCAGCGCGCTCAGAGCGCTGCAACCGCGTCATGCGGAAGTTCAAATTCTACCTGGCACTCGCCAACAGTGAGTGCCGGGACTACATCACTGAGAAATTCTGGGCCAACTCGCTAGGCTACAATATCGTGCCTGTCGTGTACGGAGCACCCAGGGAAGACTTTGAGAAAGTCGCCCCTCCCGACTCCTTCATTCACGTCAGTGACTTCCCATCCTTGGAGGCCCTGGCCGAGTATCTACGATTCCTGGACCAGGACGACGCGCTCTACAACTCGTACTTTGATTGGAGGAAACGTGGCGTGATAGGTCAGTCATTTCCTATCGCGCAGACCACCATTTGTCAGATATTACCCCATCTGTACAACGGATCTGAGCAAAAGGTGAAGCGGATCGGGGATTCTGAATGGTACAATGGCTGCCGCAAACCTGTACAATCCATCAAAGGGTTTGTCGTTGAGAGGCAGTTTGCCCTATACAGCTCATGGAAACCATGGAGGCTCACAGATGGCTAGTGATAACTATAGTCCTTACACTTTATCTTTGCCAATCGATGTGGACTAGTCATTGATGGTGTCCGTGAAGAAAGAAGTGGACGGCATTCTGCGACTAGACCAGTTAAAGGGAAAATACAACATTTGCAAACATCAAAAAATAAAACTACCAAATCATTTTGAAATACCTTGCTGGACTGTTAGTGAATGACAGTGTAAAGCATCCTGTAAAATCATGGCACCTGGTATACTGACATTTTCAAAAAAAGTGGTATTTTTGTATCAATTTCCAACGCTGGTCAACCGACCAGCGTTGGAAAAAACTGGCTTTTTTTTCAAATACTGGACCCAATTGACAATCGCACTTGTTTGCAATCGATTACACACCTATGAACGGGTACAAGCCAGCTAGACTGGTTCCCTGACCTTACAATTCCCCAATGTATGTAAACTGCTCTGTTTCTTCTTATATGAAGTCAGGGAACCAGACTACAGGAAAATGATTGTTTTTCTTGGTTTTTATAGCATTTTCGAACCCAAAACCTCAAAAAGTCAGTGTAACTATATTTGCTATATATTTCCAACCCCCAAATTCCATCCATTTCTGAAATTACAGCAAAAGCAAATGATGTATATTCCCTTTAAAGACCGACTTGTGGATGTTACGCCAAACTAGAGCAATAGTCCTAACTATACTGGGGCCTGTCCCAACTATTAAGTCAGGGGATGGAATAGTTGGGAAATCCCAACTGTAGTTGGGACGAAATGCAGCAGGGGGTCTCGTGTTGATTATTATACAAATATTGAATGCTTCGAGTGGTGTAGTAAAACTAGCCTCCCGAGGTGATCCATGGACATTCTATTTTCCCGAGGCGAAGCCGAGGGAAAATAGAATGGTCCATGGATCACCAAGGGAGGCTAGTTTTACTTCACCACGAGATAAAGCATTCAATATTTGTTTTATAACACTTCACCCACAGATTCTGCTTGATTTTAATATTTTAAATTATTTAAATCTGAACACAGTTGAAATAAACTTCAATTTCAATACAAAATTGGTGGAAAATGTATTTCCCTCTTCCAAACTACCCCTTCACGAAATGTTTGAACCCAAGTCTGCGGCACGCTCTCTTTGGAATAATACGCGCTACGCACAACGCGCACACAAGCATGCATTTGCACACAAATACCGCGCCGTGGAAATAGTACTTTGGTTGCTAATGGTATAGTACTTTGGTTGCTATGCGCATAGTACTTTTGGCCGTGCACAGAAAGATAGCAAAATTAGATAGTAACATGTGACTCGCTCTCGGCCAATCAAGACACAGAATCTGTGGGTGAGGTGTTATAAAATGCGAATGTATAAAGAGCCATTGACTATGGTGTGTCAAATCTTTCAATATTCAATGTTTCATACATTTATTTGTGATGTTCAAATAAATAATGTTTTACAATAATGAGGGATGTTCAAATATGTGAGTTGACCAGGATTATTGAACGTTTGTTGAGAAATGAATAATTTCTTCCTTATGTTTCAGTGCTCAAATATTAATCCTCCTGACCTTTTTCCAAGCTGGATTCGGCTAGCTGATTTTTTCCTGCTTTTTTCTAATTAGGAAAACACTTCTCTTAACTCTCAGATAAGTTAACGGTCAATACTGACGTACGAGGTGATCCTTTCAAAGATCATATATTACTTTTAAATCAACCAGTCATTTTGGAAAAGACAAATGAAAAATTTGATTGTATTTTGTCTGGTTATTGTAGGAACTAAACGAGCAAAAATATTAATGAAAGTTACAGCAATGAATAAGGGATGAAAACATATAACTTTGTTATATTTTAGATATTTATTCAATACACATGTGTTCCTATTGAAATATAACTTAAAAGTATTGAAATATTAGTGAGTAGTGCCGCAGATGCCAGGTTGCTTTCAGTCATATTTTAAAATTGGTTCCAATGAAATTATTTGTAATATCCAACAAAAATTTATTCAGAGCTCTGTACGAAAGCAAAAATAGACCTTAGTGTCCGTGTATAGACCAGTCATGTCCATACTATATCACAACAAAATGTATTTTCATGCATTTATTCAGTTTTGCACAAATTTTAGCTCGAACAACGCAAGTCTACATTTTTGGCGAATAATTATTTTGGAATATTAAATAATTAATAAACTGCAACAGATTCAAGTTGCCCCTTACCTTTCAATTTAGGGACTGATTCCAAACTACTATCCTTTTCATGATGGTCTCTTGACATAACGACGAGTTGTATCATTCTTTTCTTATTATTTTGCTCATTTTTTTTAAATTTATTTATTTTAAAACAAATCTTTGTTCTGTTTACAACGTACTCTGCAGCAGGTTGTAAAAATAAAATTGAAACTGGGGAAGCAATAATTATGCTTTTCCCACTGTTCACAAACAGGGCAGTGGCAGAATCAGGATATTTCAAAGAAAGATGACTGAAATGTTGATGTCAACACGCATAGAGACCAAAAACCTTAAGTAGTGAACTAAGATTCCTAACACTTCTGGCATGAAGCTTGCCCTAAAAGTGGTGTGGCGATGCCGCTTTTTTGTTTATGTTTTTCCTTTTTTTCCTTCAAATGTCGGCTGATGACTGCAAATGGTGCCCAACTAAATTGAGTGCAAAATGTATTGAAGCCCAGAGAGGCCACATAAAGCTTATACTCGATCGTAACCCAATCGAAAAAAACACATTAAAATTGTGCAGGAGCAGGATTCCAGTCAAACCAGTGAGTTTGGCGGTTTTGAGACATCATCTTTCATTGAAAAAAAAAACTTTTTAATTCTGCCAACGCGCATGGCTACAGCGACGCGTGAGCATACCAGAAACCGGAGACTTTTGTTTTGGTCTTACGGTCTTATCTCACAACAGGAAATTTGGGTAGGTCAGCCTCCAAAAACCACCAATACTAAATCTGTGCGTTAAGCGCCCTAAATCGTAGACTTCATTTGGTGCGCATTATGTCAAGGAATACTCATAAACAAACAACATGCCAATGCTGCTACTAGGATAAAGAGCGCCCTCAATAGAGGTCGCACAGACCGGATAGCTCCTTTCAGTCATCAAGTAGAATCTGACAGTGATATTTTTGCTGTGGCAGTGTGGCTGCTTACCTCGGCTGAGGTACGCACAAGGCAGCTAGCAGGGTCTCCGGGAGGGACGATGAGACGCAACGGTCAACTTTGTCGCAGATTCAGGCTTTGCTCCACGTCTGACTGCTGCTCGGCAGAACGTAGAACCACCAGCCGGCCAGCAGCTGTGATGGGCCAGCTTCCACCAGCCTGCCAGCAGTCGTGACTGGCCAACTGCAGAATCGCTGCACTCTGATGTTTTTGATTTTCCGTCGATTCAGCAGAGGGTTGCATACCTTTTCAGGTATGTCTCCGTGAAAGGACAACCTCTGGGTAAGATGACAAACAGTGGCACTCCCGCAACCAAATACCTGGGCAAGCAAGCCAAAAAATGGAATCATGTTTTAGTGAAATCTACGAGGACGTTATGTCACCTCATTTGTCAAAAAAAAAAAAAAAAAAAAAAAAACCTTCGAAATTGATTTCTCAAATCAGCTGTGGATTTTGTGATGCTCAATCTCCTATGGGTAAATGTGAGTATAAACCTTAATGATTTTAGCCTGTGAATAGTAATACCAAAGCAACGCAATGATGACATTTTAAAATTCACATAAATATTTTGAGGCTACCTTGGATCTTGTAGAATGGATCTCAGTGTGGATTCAGGGTTCACCTCGACAAGTTCAGTGCCTTCAGAATGATGGAAGTAAATCTGAGGGACAAGAAGATACGACATATTACATTCAAAGTACCAACTATTACTAGTCTTTCACTTCTTATTGAAACATCCTCCTTTTTGCATCTTGCATAATATGCAAGGCGGTGCAAAAAGAACGTTTGATTATTTCAAGTTTTTCCAAAATGTCTTAAAGGGAATATACAACATTTGCAAACATCGAAAAATAAAACTACCAAGTTTTTACGAAATACCTTACTAGGATGTTGGTAAATGACAGTCTCAAGCATCTTGTAAAATTATGGCACCTGGTGTGAAGTCATTTTCAAGAAAATGGTATTTTTGTATACATTTCCAACGGTGGTCGGCCGACCAGCGTTGGAAAAACCTAACTATTTTTCAACTACTGCTCCAAATTTACCATTTTTTCAGTCCAAATTTTGTTTGCTATTGGTTACATGTTCATGAACGGGTGCAGGCCAGCTAGATTGGTTACCTTGCCTTACAATTTTCCATCATCTATAAATTGATCCATTTTATCTTTTGTGGAGTCAGGGAACCAGACTACTTCATGGTTTTTCCAGCATTTTCGAACACAAAACTTCAAACATGTCAGTGTAACAATATTTGATCTATTATACTAACCCCTCAATTAGTTCATTTCCGAAAATTACAGCAAAAGCCAATGATGTACATTCCCTTTAACCAACCTGACACGACCCGAATATCACAAACGCAAAACCGAAACCTACCCGACCCAACTGAAATGATGGGCAAACATACCTGACTTAACCCAAAGTCGGTTTCGTTTCTGGTCGGGTCGGTTTCTGATGGGGTCAGTTTCAGGTCGGGTCGGTTTCGGGATGCGCAACATTACCCGCAACTGATATTATCTAAAAACTGTATCTACGGCAGTGTCCATATGAGATGTACATGGGTTGTTGCAAGTGCGCACAGTTGGTGGGTCTTAAAGGAGCAGTCCATTGTTCTATTATTGATAAAAGTCGTACCAACCTGAACGGTGTGAGGCTTGTACATTCCCTGCTTGTCCCAAGGTGCTGGTTCCTCAAAGAGCACCTGCAGGTGGTCCGAGAAACTAAAGAAGAAAAACAAAAAAACAATGGTTAACAAGGAACTAACATTATCAGTTGGCTGTGGCTTCATGGTCTGGTGCATCATGAACAAAGGTATTGTTGGTAAATCTGCAGATTCTGGGTTTAAATGGGGTGGTAGTGAGTTTGTTTCTGCATTCAATGGACCGATCCAGTAAGCTCCGCCCAGTGCGCACGTGGGCAAATTAACACATGCTCCTCTCCAATGCCACACTGCATTTTTCTGCCGCGCGCATCATACGCGCGTGCACACATGTCGGACTTTAGTGCACGCACGTCGGACATAAATCATGGCTGTGATTGGTCAGAACACCATGGGGCGGTGCTTACTGGATCGGTCCATTGGGGACGTTGAACAATAGAGGACAATAGGGTCCCGAATTCCCGAGAGGTCCCCAATTTGGCGATCTTGTACAAAACATATGGGAGGTCTTCCTAAAAAGTTAGTACAAACAAAAGAGGGACAATAGGGGGTCTCCGATTGCAGGCAAATACACACTTGTGTGTGTGTCCTTGGGCAAGACATTTGTCACAATCATGGTGATTGTGTTTGAATCGGCCGTTGGCATAGAGAAAAGGCAACGTCAGGCTGTATGGGTGCCATGTGCGAACAAGCGAGGGCGGTGTTTGACCACTTTTGAGAGCCCAGTGGTCGGAACACACCATGTGCACATACTGGTTCACCTGCATATAGCTCGAGTACAAACGACTGAGTTTATTCTGAATGTGCAAAAAACCATAGCGTCTTCGCGTAACGTCATTGCCGGCATCATCGGCAATGCGTCAAAAGTCTCTCCCAGTGGTCTCCCCAAACTCTCTCTTTCTTGCCGTTGAGGGGGTACTTGTGCACGGAGCCCATACTCCACACGGAGCTGTTGCACAACTGAGAAGGGTATGGTGATGTAAGTCTTCACATTTTGACTCACATGGAGTCCTCGTGAAATTCTCGGACGAAGTCACTCTGGCCGTATTCTGGGTAGAGGAACGTCACCGGCCAGGTCAGGTTCCCGGACTCGTCCAGCACGATGGCAGCACCCGTGGGGTGCTGACTGCTGACAGCGTCCAGTATGAGCTGGTCTTGGGACTTGGCCTGTTGGTCATCGTTGAGTTGACCGAACTGAATCGTCCGACTCTGATGAACAGATGACACACGAGTCAAGATTAACCATAAGCACTATGTACTACATCATAATATTGCATTACATTGTATTTAATTTTTTTATTGTATTTAATTTTTTATTGTATTTATTCATTGAAGAATTCATAAACTTATCGCGTAATCGGTGGTTTTGAGCACTACAGGAAGTAATATGCAGGGCGGTTTTGGTCGCTACAGGGATTAAAAGGTTCATTTTTATATTCGCAATTCAAACTTAGGAAGTTAGAAATTAGCTTTGAACAAAGATATTGACAAAATGGTTTAACAACCAACATAGGGCTGGATAGCTCAGTTGGTGGAGCACCGGAACGGCAGTCTAGAGACTGCAGGTTCAAAACCCACTTTAAATCAAAACAAAAATTTTCCTCAGTATTTTTCCTGATATGTCTAGAAGTGTGTACCCACCTTGATAGCCTCCACGATCTTCATCCTTCTCGCCAGTGCCGCTTTTTCTTCAGTTTTTCGCTTTCTGTTGTTCCTCTCTGTAATTTTCTTTTAATTTGGGGACAAAAGAACGATGGAGCAGTTACAAATTTGAAGTAAGCAATCCAGTTAGGGACCCAGTTGCCGATCCTAAGTAGCATTAATACTGACTGGTTTAAAACAGCTTTCAGTGATGCACATGTGGTTTTCAGCTCAACAAATTGTAATGGTACAGGGTGTCTAAAAAAAACCACCTCAATACCCCTTTTTTTCACAGCTTTTAAAAAAATACACTGCAAATATCGATACAGAGAGTGCATTTCATTAGCTCTTCAACACCAAAAAAATCTTTCAAATCAGGTAAATAGTTATTGAGTTATGGCCAATTCACAATAAGTGCTAATTTTTCAATCTGTCCAAGGTCTCAATTGTCATTGGTTAGGAATGTTATAGATTTGGGGTGAGGGGAGCTTTCTTTAAAGTTTTAATCTTTCTTTCTTTATTTGGTTCTTTTTTATTTATTTTTTTTGGAAACAATGGTCATTATTCCTTTTGGAAGTAATGGTAGTCCTGAAAAGGACTGTTTGGTTAACTTCTTAGATGCTTACTGTGCTGCTCTGTCTCTGCCCTCTACTTGGTAGCCTTTTTCACAAAATGCATTTTCTGACCATGTTCTTATTGCGGCAGTCAAAATATCAGTCAAAAATATCAAATGTTGTCTGATTCCATCCAATTTCTGTAGTCTTCGCAAATTCACTCCATGCAGGTAATGATATGGGATCAAAGCCAAGGCTGCAATTGTGAAACGTAAACTCTTTTGCCGAGTTGCCACGTAGGTTGGTAGATTAGTTAAATAACTTTTGTAAATGTTTGGGAAATTTTCTGGGTTGAAGATGTCCCAAAAAATACCCACGTTTTGAAAAAGTAAACTGGTGTTACCTGTTGTTTGGTAGCTGCTAACCTCAGATCCAAGACTCTTTTGTCATCGGCAGAAATGTGATACAAAGTCAAGGATGATTTAGGTTTAGTTGTTTAAAATAACTGTGTAATTAACAATATTAACAGTAAAAAGATTAAAAACAGTAAAAATTTTGAAAAAAAATATGTTAAGTAAAGGATATTTTCAGCGCCTTGTCGCACCACGTGATGGCTTCGCTGTACTCCTCAAGTTTCATACAGCAATCGGCTGCCCTTATCAATGCCTTCATGTGACTGGGATTGTGTTTGACTGCCTCCGTGGCATCATTCAGAGAGGACCGGTTGTTCCCTGATGGTCATAAATCAAAATAGAGGGAAAGTAAGGCAAGGAAATCTGAAATAATGTTTGTCACATTTGCAACATTTCCACATGTTTGAAATGTTAAGGGCAATTACAGCATTACGGAAGAAAATGTAATGTCCCCGACCGAGCCACTTAACCATGATATCTTAACCCGAGCTCCCTAGCATGATTTACTAGGAACCATACCCATCCTGGCAAATTCCAACACCATATGGGAAACTGCACACATATATTTTTGACTTCGATTCTTAAGGTGTGCCAACCCAATGGAAAAGACTGTCAGTTCAGGGGTACTGTACCCATCCTGACAGATTCCAACAAGACATGACGTTGGGGTTTGATGGGTTGGGGGAGATTAGGGTTAATAATGATTCAGAATAATGATCCAAAACTCCTATTCTATAATCTCCTTGATCATTGCTAGATGATGGATGTATAAGATTTGAAAGAATTTATTTTCAACTTTATTCACTGAGCTCTTAAACTGTAACTCCCCAGGCATTTGTGCAAGGATGCAACCTCAATCCTGCAAAATCCTCCAACTGTCTCCATGTAAAAATTGCACACAGCCTCAATCCTGCAAAATCCTCCGTTATTTCTTGAATGTGGTCCTTGGAGGGGTGACCACTGCCTCAATCCTGCAAAATCCTCCAGCAATCACTGTCAATATGTTAAAGCAGAGCCAGTGACATCCCGGAGCAGTGCGGAGGATTTCAAGTATAATCTAGGCCTAAATTTATGCACGGTTGAGCATAAACAACACAAGGTCCGGCCCATGACCTTTACACAGTGCATCATCCAAAATGAGCAGCACATTTTTGCCATGTATCCTCAATCCTGCAAAATCCTCCTTTTTGCAAAGAGAATTTTGGAGGATTTGGAACGGTTAGGGTTAAGTATAAAAAAATGTTGGGGTTTGAAATGTGACGTTGGAATGGCCCTAAGATAAAAAAAATTTGCAATCTGTGTCCCAGCTCACCTAGGTGATAGTTGGCTGCCGCTCTGTTGGTGTACAATACCGCCCTCAGCTCGCCATCTTCAAATTTCTGCTTGAGACCTTCGTCGTACGCTGTGATGGCCATTTTGTATTTCTTCTTCTTAAACCACGCATTGCCGTCGTCTTTGTGGGTCTTGGCAAGCTCTGAGTCAAATCCAAGAACATTTTTTTTGTAAACCTCAGAACCGAGAAAAAAAATTAATGGGTGGAGCCTGCTCAGAGTAAAAAGATCCCACAGGTCAACTCCTTCAGGCCAAAAGGCCTCAAAGTCTGTGGCTGACAGCCACCACAGGATCTGATAGTAACACTGTTCAATGACACTTGCTCCCCCGTCTCAATAGTTCGCATGTTATGTTGCTGATGTCGTCTTGTCAAATGCAGCAAAGGACAAACTGGCACACACACTTAACCCTAAACCTGCTGAATCCAACAGGATCCAACTATATCATATACCCGATGGAGCCTGTTGGATTGAGCAGTAAACCCCTTGTGTGCATTCCTGATTGCAAAATGTTAGATTCAGCAGGCAACTGGACCGCATTATAACGCCATGTTGGACTCCGTTCGATTCAGCAGGCAACTGAAAATAAAGCACAGTGGATTGAGCAGAAAACTCCGGTTGGACTCTGTTGGATTTAGCAGGGTAGTCCTGAGGAAGTACTAGGGGGTTAGGGGCTGGCACGTTAACTTTGAAGTCTCTCAAATCTGCTAAGCGAGTAAAATTTCAAATCCCCACAATTTACAATGTGTTGCATCCCATTTTTATAAAAAAAATTCATCAGGAGGTTGCAGGTTCAAGCCCCACTCCAGTTAATTAATTTTTTTTTTCTACTTTAAAACAAAATTTGGAGAGACCATAGTCTTTTCTGAGTTGCATTGTTTTGGAATAACAGTGACCGCCTCTAAATGCTTGTCAATCCCCGCCCCCATGTCAGTACCTTCTGGAGGATCGTCTTCATCATACTTGATTGCCTGCAGTGCGGCTACCAGACTGTTGTCTCCTGCATCTTCAGGTATCTCCTTCATGAACACCGGGATCTTGTCAATCTCCTAACGGAAGAACAGATAAAAACAAACATGTAATTGTGACTGGTTCCACCAAAAAGGGTATTATGTCGCAAAAAAGTGAAATTGATTATATACATGGTTGGAAAGCCCACAATGTAAGCTTTCATTTGGTATATAATAGAGCTCCATAGCCCCTCCTGTTCTGGAGATATGATGTATTGCATATTAATTACTTCCTTGGAGTTCTAATTATCACAACTGAGAAAACAGGCTTTGAAATAGCCGGCTTTGTTGTAGAACAACAGAAGGATGCACACAAAATGGCTGTTTTTTTCCACTTTGCTCATCAAAATCAACATTTCTGTGAATGAAACCTGAAACTGTAGATATTAAAGATGTCATTACAAGTGACAAAAAATTAAATAACATTTTGACGAAATGTTTACCCTCTCAATGTTGAGCGGGCCATTACACAATGATGCTCAGCGCGACTCAATACCCTATTTTGTGGAGCCGGTCACAATTGTGTTATTGCAATTTATTTGTAAATTAGTCTGTGTGCTGGGGGGGGGGGGAACCACAATGACACCCCCCCCCCTAGACTAGTCACTAGTCAGCCTGCTTCACTAGTACTAGTCTGGTTCCACATTAGAAATGCATGTACTATTCAGAGTCTGGAAAGAATGTTGCCACCTAATGCTACTTCAGCAGTTGTGTACAAAGTCAATGAAGAGTCAAACATTTTGTAAAGACTGCCCTTTTTCATTCAAAATGCCCTTTTTTTCACCGCCCCTTACCTCCCCCCCCCCCGAATATTTTGTAAAGAGTGCCCTTTTTTTAACAAGTGCCCTTTTTTCTGAACAAGCGCCCTTTTTATAAAGAAGTTGTGCCCTTTTTTTGTTCCATCGGCTGTTCCTGGTGCCTTTTTTTTTCGTGCATGTATCGCCCTGAAAGCCACCATATTTTGGCCATTAGTGTGCACAATCGTCGGTTTTGAACAGCGCCCCCCTCAGATGGTTACCAGCCTCCCCCCCCCCTACTATTGAATTTTTCGGAGGCCAAGTGTTCGAAGAAAAAAAACGTGTCTACATTTCAGCAAGGATGTGCAAGTGCCCTTTTCAAGGAAATTTTTAACCCCCCCCCAAAAAAAAATGACAGTGCTACACCACTGATTCATGTCTTTTTGCAATGCCGGGCCTGACCTTCATTAAGATGGTTTATGAAGAAAAAAGCAGCGACAGGTTACAACACTCTTTCCAAATTAGGTAAGAAAGTCGATTTTCAATTTATACTGTTCTAAATTTGAAAAATTAGAGTCAGATAATTAAGAGAACGTTTCCTGAGGTTGCAGATTTTTGGGAAAGTGACAAAACTTTTTAAGAATAACATAAAAATGAGGTGTCCTCAGCTAGGCCACGTTGCAAACCCCATGACAACTAGCTGGAGTTACCCAGCCCTGAGTTTTATCATTGGGTTGTCTATTAGGGCTGGAGCGCATTTTTCTCGTAACTTGTAGTATTTGCAAAAAAAATTTGGAAAATGTTCAATTTTGTTCCCGTTACACACTAATTGCAACTGCAACTCACCCCAAACTTGCCTGGAATAACCATTACACAGGTCCTTGAAGTAAAAAACGATCCACGATGAAGATTCAGCCTACAATTGCAGTGAAAACAGGAGGAATAACCGCTAACTTGACAACCTTGCTGGATTGGCCAGGACCGCTATTGGTTTGTGCACAAAAAAAATTGTGTACAATGAATGGCGGTCGATTAACAGGCACAGAGAGCGATCGCTGTCAACTACTCGTTTTGCCGGCTGCGCTGGCTGTTGGCGCGTGACGTCACGCGGAAGCGTAACACCCGTTGACTGTTTCATGCACTAGTATAAGGTTTACCACTCGCATCACAGCTTTGGTAATGGAACCGCAACCAATAGTGCATGAAACAGTCATCGGGTGTTACGCTTCCGCGTGACGTCACGCGCCAACAGCCAGCGCAGCCGGCAAAACGAGTAGTTGACAGCGATCGCTCTCTGTGCCTGTTAATCGACCGCCATTCATTGTACACAATTTTTTTTGTGCACAAACCAATAGCGGTCCTGGCCAATCCAGCAAGGTTGTCAAGTTAGCGGTTATTCCTCCTGTTTTCACTGCAATTGTAGGCTGAATCTTCATCGTGGATCGTTTTTTACTTCAAGGACCTGTGTAATGGTTATTCCAGGCAAGTTTGGGGTGAGTTGCAGTTGCAATTAGTGTGTAACGGGGACAAAATTGAACATTTTCCAAATTTGTTTTTTTTTGCAAATACTACAAGTTACGAGAAAAATGCGCTCCAGCCCTAATAGATAACCCAATGATAAAACTCAGGGCTGGCTGGCTGGCTGCAGGCTGGGTAACTCCAGCTACATGACAACAGTAAAGTAATGGCAATTGCAATGGATCATATCTGTCCGGAAACTGGGCAGCCTACCTCTTCCCAGTTTTTCAAGAATTCTTCATTTTCCTTCACTAAAAAGTCACCCTTCTTCTTGTTGGCGTACTTGGGGTGTGACGCTGCTTCGTCGAGGTACCGGTCAAACATCGTATTCAAATCTTCTCCTGTTTTTCCGGCCCCTTTTTCGCCGTCTGTCGTACCCACGTTGCTTTCTGTGTTTTCCGCCATGTTGTATGGCTACCTTCTCTCATTGCGCAATGGAGCTGTGATTGGACAATATTTCGGCAGGCAGGTCAATAAACTTTTCAACGAATCAGAAGCAGGAGCGATGTCTGTACACATAAGTCTCAAATTTTATCTGCTATTTGTTTATTAAATTAAAACAAAGTATACAATTATTTATCAATCGTCTTTTTATAGTTTGTCCAGTGACGAATCATATTCTTATTCAAGTATTTAGGACTTGATTCCGCAAGCGAAATATCGGTCATTCTGATGGCTCGCTCGCTGTACTATACATTTGGAGAGTCCCTCGACAGAAACTGAACTTGTTTCTTTTGGGTAATCCTGCGGGAGCTTTTTGGGTGTTGTTTTCTGTTCTGTTTTCTGTTATGTTTACTACTCAGTGTTATTTGTACATGTAATTGTTTTGTCTATGATTCACTGTTTGTAATATCCCGGAAAATGAAATAAATGAATAAAATAAATTCAATGCGGTTCTCAGAAGGTTTTGCCATAGACCCTCAGTGCTAACGTGCATTTCCGAAAATTATTTTAAAATACTCACAACTCTCTGAGGTGTTGGAGGCACACACCAATTTAAAGCTTATTGCACCATCTTTCATTTTCTGTTCAATGTTTGTGCTTTTATCCCATGACTTTTGGGAGAAAATTCCATCCAAAGATGATCACCCCTAAAAGAAGTCCAGAAGCCCATCGCCATTTTGAAAATGGACGCCTATACGCTCCATTGCAAAATAGATCCATTTTAGGGCCTAAGTTTATCCAAATTTCACACATATACGAGCTTGCAGTCCTCTGCACGGCTTCCACCCATCCTTTTTTTTTTTTTTTTTACAAATCCTCAAATGCAGGGCCCTCGAAATGCTCTAAAATTTGAGGGCATGCAAATCGTGATTTGGCCGGCGTAGGCAATTTTGGGCTATGTACTAGTCTGCACAGAGAAGGCTAAACTTTGGGGGAGGGGGGGGGGTAACAAAATTGCGAACCTAATTTCCTCATTCTTCTCTTCTTTTCAGGAGGGCGGTGGTCGTGAATATCTGGCAAAAATGGAACTATTTATTCACGGTTGAAAAGAGAAATAAATGTCGAAAATGTTGAGGGAATCCCAGGAAAATGTTCATTGATATTTATTCACCATATTCCTTATCAGTACCCTACTTCATCTGGCCGAGGAGGCACCAGTCTAGCTACTTCATGATCAAGGTTTAAACACGAACAAATCCAAAAACGACATGAAAATAATGTTTTATTCTACATTTAGGACTCAATTTTCTTTTTTGCATCAAATGTATTAACATCTTGCAAGTGACTAAAAAAAATACACGTAAACTTCACTCTTCACTGACACACTGCAAAAACTGTGTTAAATTTACACCATATAGGACCATCTGGTGTTAAATTGTACTGGTGTTGTCATATATAGATACCGAATGGTGTTAAATTAACACTACAGTTTTTGCAGTGCAATCTACAATTTGAACACACACATTATCTCGGAAACATTAGCAACAATGAAAATATACTGCGTAGAAGTTATTGCAGTTTCCAACCTAATTAAGCATCGATCAATAAGCCGTATCGATCCAGTTCGGTAATCGATCCTCAGTGTGGATTTAATTAGATTCGGAACCCCTGGGGCTAATCCGTAACAAGAGAAGAATCCGGAGGATTAAATAGAGTTGCTTAAGACTGTTCTTATATGCGCTGTCATCTACAAAGTAGCTTAGGCCAAGTCAAAAAATACCATTTGATCGTCCCCGCCCGCTTCCTTTTTGGGGGGGCTGCATCTTCTTTTTTTAATATCAGGCATAATTTTTTTTAATGTTTCAAAATTTCAGATGCTTCTTATAGCTTTACTTATGTTTAATAAGCACTTATAAGGAGGTTTTGTGGTCATCAACTAGTAAACAACTACCCAGAACTATCAAATAAAATTGGGTCTCCTCCTTTTTAAGGCACTTATCGTGTAAGCTAAATATGGCTATTTTGGCCTATTTTTCAAAAAATAAATAAAAAGGCCCTCAACCTCCCCTTTTTGAAAAAAACGGACGATCAACTGGTGTTTTTTACTCGGCCTTATTATGGAACAAGATTCTACTGAGTTTGATCTAAAGCAATACTGATTCTTTACATTGAAGACAATGATAATAATAATACCGTTTATACAAAAAAAATTAAATAAACAAAGGAAAATGTTTGTTAACTTTTGTGAAGCAGTTTTCCAATGTTAGTTCATCATGGCCTGTAGAATTTCATCCATTATTGTTCATTAAGTCCACCATGAAAGACTTCTATTTTCAAATTATTGTTCAGTGAAATCGAGTTGGACCAAAAATGGTTCAATCATCAAATTGGGCATCAATTGTTTTTGTTTTACAACCGTACCGAATTCTTAGACAAACTCATCATCGAGTTCAGGACACACGGTTAATAAGAGCAACGACATCGGGCAAGGAGAGACAAACAATTCCAAAGTTTGGGTCAGTCACAATGTTGGGGAAAACATGATAAACATTGGTGCCATCCTAAATATCCTTGTTGTTGTCCAGTTTTCGTCCACGATTTCGACGAATAAAAATTGTTGCATTTCACTCGTAATAGATTCCGTAGACGCTGGCAATCACAAACATGGACGCGTTCTCGTATGTCACCGTCACAAAGTTATCGGTCCTATCGTCCCAGACGGACCGGCCGCACGCCTGCAGGCCCTGGTCGCGTTTCTCCCCTACCACCACGTACACCACGATCCGATGTCTACGGAAACCCATCTTCTTGGTGCGAGCTTTGATGACGTCCGCCAGGCTGGTCGTCAATGAGCTGCAGCTCCGCGGGTCGTACTTCTCCGTCTTGAGTCGCATCTCCAAGAGCTCCAGCAGGAATTTCTCCACCTGGGGTCCGTTGAAGGTGGTGCTGTCATCCGGCTGCGTACGATACGAGTTCTCGTACCGCTTCTTGGGTAGCGTTATGGTGGGCTTGTTCACTGTTTTGGTGCTCGCAGTTGTCGAGACGGAGAGTTTACGAGCCACCGTGGACCACACCGACATCTTGCGGCCGAATCCCTTGAAGGACGGGGCCGGGTTGTCGCCTGGTTCTGAGGTGCTGGCGGCATCGGAAGCCGGAGGAGGAGGGACCCCATTTGCTTCGGCTTCTTCAGCGCTAGCTGCTTCCTTGTTCTGCGACGCTTTGATTAACTTCAAGAGAGACATCTTCCGGACAACTCCAACTTCTGCCAGCCGTGAACAACTCTTGGGTTACTCAGAAAACATTAAATATTCTTCTTCTTTTTTGCCTATTTGTAACAGTTCAGAGTTTGTAACTTTGAACAAACTTAAGCTTCTTGAATTCAAGGGCTGGTTTGTTGAATAGCCTCCATCTTCAAGGTATCGATAAAGGAGATCCAGCAAGAAAACAAAGTTCACTTTAGCTAATGTTTGTTGGTTACAAAATTCCACTCATACTGGTAAACACTGAAGACTAGCTGGGCTTATATCGATCACTCTTGTCCTGTACTGATCCCAAGTTGACGACAAAACAGGATAAATCCTATAGCAACGAAAGGGTTTTCATTCAGATTCAAGACAGAAGCCAATCATGTCCATATCAGTAACCGATTCGGGATGGCCACACTCTCTGTGAAAGTTGAAGCACAATCACAACCGATGGTCAACTGCCTCTCATTAAAACTGCACGCCTCTCATTAAAGTTTCACGCGTTCCATTTCTCATCTCAATCATTCACAGTTGCTCATGTAGTCCTTTTCAATCAGCATACACTCCTGGCTTAAAATTTCGTCGGAGAAGTGTTGCTGATGCAAGTCTTCAAGTTTCTGCCTGGTTGTGACTCGTCCTAAGTCAGAAATCAAGAAAGTGAGACTCACTCCCCGTTGTTTGTTTACTGCTCCCGGTATCCAACGCCCTGCATCATCCCCGTCGATGTTATTTCAAGACTCTGCCGTGGGTCAACACTGCACGCCTCACTGATGCTCTGTTTGTGACAGAGGGAATATTTCTTTTGCACGACCCACAATAGGAATCCTCTGGACGCTTTGGACAGAAGATGGGGCTTTGTCCAGACATTATTTGCATTTTATATCGGCTTATGGGTCAATCGCGACCATTGATTGCATCGACCGTTATGTGAATGACCGTTAATCCTGTCCGAAGGCGGACGTGGGTCCAATAAGCCACCATGAGTTGTCGGCAAACATCTTGTTGTGAAGCTGCAATTAGAAAAGTTGCGCCAAAAATACACAATTTGCCCACAGGCTCGGGCTATGTTTGTGTCATTTTGGACTCCTGTGACATAAACACGAAAGAGGCAATGGAGGCAATCATACCGTCATTTTCAACCTGTGAAAAGGGGCTCCCAATACATCTTCTATGGGTGAAACAAACACGAACCTCGAAATCATTCACACTGGCGTTCGTTTTGTGTTCATCGTAGTCTCAATCGTATAGTCTGGTCTATGATCACGTAATCACAGATTACTTATTAAGAAAGTCATGCACTGACATTCTAGGATTTAGGGTATAAAATCTAAGGCGCTTATACTTGCAGCCGTCCTCCATCAAATGAAATTCCTTTCTTAATAAAGCTGGTAACTTTTTACGGCCTTCAGAGCAACATTTAATTTTTAGGCACATCTACTCTGAAACATAAAGCAAACAAGCATCAGCATTCGTAACGTTTGTGTGTGTGGATGTTTCGTTTGCAAAAGAACATCAATTTTAGAGCGCGTCCCAAGCAGAGTTCTCGATGAAAGCAAGCCCACTTGATATCTGAAGAGGATCGCAGTTTCATGGAAAAAGCACCCTTTGTGAATACAGGAGGCGTATTCTTCATCTATTTTGCGTTGGCGTCTGTTTTGAGTTTAGGATTTCACCTTGAGTGCTATTCACATATTGTACTAAGATCACCACAGGTGTGTAGACACCGTGTTTTACAGAAGCTGTTCAGTTTAAGACCAGATTTTCCCAGAAGTAAGCATACTAATGACGTCACTACCCCTTAAGAATCGATTCGTAAAAATACAATGGCACTGACTGCAAAAATATTTAAAGATGGGGTGAATGGAGGATTGTAGGCCTATATCTGTGAAAAGGAAAGAGTACATTAGACGCAGAATGACAAGTGGCATTGTAAGGGGGAGGGGCTTGGTACCTCTCCCCTCTCTGAAGAGCTGGAAAGTAGCTTTGTTTATAGGCCTACTGGGAGTCTGCCAGATTGTACCCCCCACTCACACCCCACCCTCGAAAACAAATCTGCATCCGACACTGCAATTGCCAATTTTTCGCAACTGATAATTTTAAACAAATAGAGAGACAAACAGTGCAGAAGGGCAAAGTCAACAACATAATTGTAAAAAAAACCACTCGAAATAATTATGTAGGCCTATACCAGTCGTGATGGGGCGAAGCTAAGAACAAAGTTGATAGAGACTTACTTAGACGTGTACCAAACTTGTGTTGGACTACTAGCCAGTCTATTTTTGGGATTGCAGGTCTTAACTTCATCTTGACTAAGTTGCGATAGCCAATGCATTTTACGTATATTGATCTTTGAATGTCCCTTCCAGACCACCGTACTACAATGTAATTGCAATCGTGGGCATTTCAATAACAATACGACTCACCTTTAGTTAAGAAGTCGTTAACATGACGTCATCAATTGTAGATTGAGTGGCATGCTTAACTCGCCGCGAATGGGCTATTCTGTCTGTTCCCCGCCTAATTTTGTTGAAAAGTCAATACAGATGGTTGGAGCGGCAATAGGCGGGATTTTTGAACCAGACTAGGTGACCATGTGCAGCACGAACTGCGGACGGAGTGGTTGGGTATGTGGGCGCCTGAGAGTGATCTTACAACACCAGACCACGGGAAAACCTTTCAGGAGATTCTAGACACCCTGACCCGGCCCAACAAGTGGATCCAAGACCCGCTGACGGTAGCTAGTCCCTCGTTGGTGACTGACAACAACCTGCCCGGGGCCGGGGATGCGACATGGACCGGGGCTGGCGGGGTAATCATGAACGGCAGCGTGACTGGACACACAACCACGGGAGCTGTCACCCACGCGGGACCGGTCGGCATCACGGTGACGACTTCATATCCCGGAACATTATCTCCCGTGACTTCACAAGACGCGAACACCGCGTCTGACTTTTGGTACCGGTACGGGATAAGCATTACGGTGGCAATCTTGGTGTTCGCTGTGGTACTTGTGCTCGTCATCCAGTGCAGGATTTTATACCAGAAGAATTTTCGCCGTCGCAGGCTGGTGGATTTGGCTGGGAACCGGAACAACAAGGCTAGGGAGGATATATTTGAGAGCTTCCACCGGCAAGAGACGGCCCAGGCGTCCATGTCTAGCAGATTGCAGTCTGGAACATCCACACAGCAGGAGGATATACCCATGAGGGTGATACACGAGACACAGCCTTGCCATCACCAGCCACCGTGGCGAGCCCCGCCGGCCGGCCGGGCAGCCGAGCCCCTAGCCCGGGTCTACCCGCTCCATCACGGCGCACCGGCCCGGGACCTGAACGCCAACATCACCGACCCTTTCCTGTGTGACTCCTACCGTCGTCTGTGGAATACCACCGCGGGAGTTTACCCGATACGCATCCACAGAACGGTCTCGTCCGAGCCGGTCATAGCTCGGCCTACGACCAGCCGGCGTTATTCCTCCCGGAGCCGCGTCAGGCGTGTCAGGGTCAGGGGCGACACCAGGATGCCCAGGTTCAACCTATCGGGGACGCGGGTCCCGACGTCCCCCGAGTCCAACGGGGTCCATCATGGGATGCAGCGGCGGAACAGGCCGGCACGACCAAACATCAGAACCACATTTGCCGAGGCGAATACAATGCTGACAGAAGTAGGTTTAGAAATGGCCAGAGTGTCTTAAATTAAATTGTATTCTAAATGGGGATTGATGACAACATCACGACGCTATTTGACGCCATTTTGTCAGTTTTGAGCTAAACATTACTCTGGGAAAGTTGGAACAGAGAAATGGAAAACATTATGCTCAGACGCCTTTTTGTTGAGTACAAAATGTAAAAGTCACTCTTTACAAACGTCTAAATGTCTGTCTATTTTCTGACGAGATTGGGAAAGAAACATGAATTAAACTGCTGCAAACTGCTGACTTGATTGAACTGAAATGTAAAAATCAAAACAGGGAAAGAGTTCCATACCTGGACATCGCTTGACACTCTGTGCACAAACCCAATGAGACTGGTCTGAAAAATTCCAAGTGTTTTCTCAGCTTGAAGCCGGCTTCAATATTTTCCCTGCTACATTTGACTTTTTATGACCTCGCTTTCTGATGGCTGATAGGTCACTGCAGGAAAGAAATTGTGGTGTCCATGTATAGAATTCTTCCCCAAAAGAGTAAGGCGGCCTGCAAAACAAATTTGATGTTGGAAAAACGATACTTCGTTATTTCCATTAGAAGTGATATACTGCCCCTTATTCCTGTCTAAAGACTACGAAATCAGAGCATAATAACACCTCTATTTCCTCTCAGCACACCTATTTTTAAGAGAAAGCAAATTTCTTTTTCCTCCCTTCTCTTCAGGTGAACACGCCCACTCCCAAGCTCGTCGTCCCGACCAACACCCCGAACACCCACTGCACCGACTCCGCACCGGAGAACGCGTCCCCGTACGGGCCCGGTTTGGACTCGGACTTCGGGGCCAGCGCCGGCATTCCGCACTTCACCGTCTCGCCTGATATCGACAACGGCATGAACGTCACTGCGGACACGTCCGTACGGGACGCCACCTACGAGTGGGACACGTACGACCCGGCGTACGTGAACCGTACGGTGAGGTACGTGGACGGCGCGTATTTCCCGGTACTGCAAAAGAGACAATATTGGGTATGAAAACAACTTTGGAACAAAGCGGTATTTCGAATTTTCATGGACAAGTTGCGTTCAGCAGACATCTTGGAGGTCTTTTCGTTATTTTAAATCAGTAACAATGAATGCACAAGGTCTTCTTCAAGTCAACAAAGATAAATTAAATTCAAGCAAATTTGTTGCCCAGTGAGTTTTTATAAGTCAATTGGGAAAGAATGTCGCATCCTGACGCCACTTTTTTTTCATCATAAATGTATCTCAATGAAGGCAAGTCATTGCAAAAAAAATGTTGAAAGACATGAATCTGGGACTGAGAAACATTTCCAATTTTGTTAGAAAATACTTTGAAAATGCACTCTCCATAGAAAGTGGCGTCAGGATACTACATTCTTTCCGTTAAGTGAGTCATTTAAGTTTAGTGTCACAGGAAGATGCTAATTCTTAACATTATTTTTCAATTTTTCTTATAATTGTTTTAATACAAACAGAAACGTAACACTGTTATGAATTTTATTTGTACTTGCAGGAATTGTGCAAGGTTAAAGTTTGAGTTTGTATGTGTATTTTGGGGAAAAACTGACAAAAGTAATGAATCGAACCGAATATGGCAGTTGGTACAAATTCTGTTACATATTATTTCTTAAGAGAAAATAAATTATGCCTAGTCGAATGTATCTAAAGATAAATGAAATAAATGTTTCAACACTTCCCAGTAAGTATCACTACTTTTATTGCTAGACGATCACTCTACTATTTTTTTTCAACAAATATATACAAATATTGAAATCTTTTCTTCAAAACTACAATATCTGTAAAATTTATGTACCACAATTTAATTAATGGGATTGAAATTGTAGTCATAAAGGGTAGTTTCATTTCCTTTTGTAAGGGGAAAACCCACTATATTGGGTCAAGAAACTTATTGATCTAAAAATAAAATAGCAATATCTTCAGCAAATCATGATCCCCTTTCGTTTTTCTTCAATCTTATAAATATAATTTTTCCAACACAGCTACATAGATACACTTCAACAGAATATTTATAACAGAAATTTGAAGAATGAAAAAAAAAAAACGATTATAAACAACTTGCACGCGCATGAAAAAAACATTCATATGTACAGAATTCGTTTTATGAATTATAAACTATACATAAAGTCACATAATTACTTCAAATATGTACATTTCACCCACATAACGATCTGAAAGACAAGGTTTAAGTACTAAAGGTTTAAGGTATGGATGAAAACACAACAATCGTAACAGTGTAAGCGGTGAAGATGAGATAAACCTACTTCATAAAAATAACTCTTAAAAAAATCTCGAACGTTTTTTCTTTTCTGAAAGACAAGGTTTTACATAAATATGGAATGTTGTCGCGTTCGTACAAAAATACATATTTAAAACCTGATTGTGGTGAGACGACACACACATATATATACGGAACTATGGACTTGTCCTTAGGTGGAGAACGGCTGTTGCATTAGTTATTTGCCCAAACCAATGTTGTTTTCACGCCAGAGGAACGACCCAAGTATTGGCATACAACAGCTCTCGTATAGTAACGTTTGGCATGTTCTACCCCAGACAGGGCTCTGGAGTGCTCTGAAACGTGCAAAAATAAATCAGGCCCATTTTACTCACAGTTTAGCCAGCAAATTTCTCCAAAAATTCCACTGGAGCAAAGAAAATGTCCTCAGTATTTCACCAACCAAGTTTGCAGACTCAATTCAATTTTTAAAGGAGACTTTTCTTCAATATTTTGCACATGAGAGGGAAGTCAAATGATTTCAAAATGGGGCTAAATACTCGACTGGTACATGTCCATCCATGGTCCAACTATTTGAAAAGACTGACCTCTTCATTCAGTGTCAATAGTCTGGTGGCTTGACTATGGACACATGTGTAGAAAATTGAGACTAGTTCCCGCTTCATGCCACATGTTTCTTAAATTCTTTTAGCATGGTTGATAGATGCAGTACTGAAGCTGTGTTGGACTGGTTGTTTTAGGTGCCAGTCTATTTTCTTGCTTTGCATGTTTTCAATACCTTAAGTTTTGGGACTCTCATACACAGTTTTGAGAGCCCCAAATTTCCGGACTAGTTCTACCCCCAAGGTTGTAGTTATGCATATAGTCCATAAGCTTTGCAAACACTGAGTTCTTAGAACAGTAGAAGAGGCTTATTAAATAATGTCGTCACAAGTACTTTGACTCAAACACTGCGCAATGGTTTGCATATGTTTGATTAAAATGGGCATGACTAATTTGCCCAAACCAACAGCGTTTTCACATTAGAGGAAAGACCCAAGTGAAGGCGTACAGCGATCGTCTGTCCTTCAAAGACAGCAACATTTGGCAATTTTTAATCCTGAGGGCTTTGTTATACTTATAAACAAAATCCGTAAATCTTTGCAGCCCTGAATTCTGGAAACAGTAGAACACTCTTCGCCTCAACACTGCCATCTTCTAGTTATTCTCAATTAGGTCGTTGTCATAAGTGCCTTCATCATCATCATCATCTGAATCTTCGTCATCTAGCGGGTCTTCGTCGTCATCGATGTCGACTCGCTCGTCAGCGTTTCGGTTTTCGTTGGGGTCCCTGGACCGTTGGTTGGCCTCCCTGGCGACCCTGTTGGCGATTCCTATGTAGATGGGCTCGTTGAGGCAGTTGCGGCATCGCTGGGTCCGCGGGTGGTGGTACCCGAACACCTGGGATGACGGTGGAAAACATAATTGCATTAGCAGGGAAACACAACGAGACTGAGACAAAGACAGAACTCGGAATACCAACTATACCAATTACAGCGTGTTCGATGACTTCTCTCGCGCTTAGCATACTTTCGTTTTGGGTATAAATGCACATGCACAGTCTGTAGCCATAAATGAACTATCGCAGGCTACTCGAGGTCATGTGGCGATTACATCCCCTTTGCAAAATGGATTTGAGCCGTCAAAAGCCATGGTTGCCACGGTACGTGCTCTTCCAAAGTGATTGGAATCAACTCCCCCAGTCCATCACCTCCCTGAAGTCCCTTGAGTTGTTCAAGGCGGCCATCCAACATGGACAGAACTGAACCCACTCTGCACCCCATGGCGGCATGGGCCAAGTTTTGCTTGTTGCTGCCATGTATCCAGATGAAGATGAGGATGAAGAATAAGAAATGCCGGGTATGTGTAAAATTAACTTAACTTTCCTCCCGTCGTCTAGTACTCGTGTGAAGTGAAGCTGAGACACTTTTCAATCCCACGCCGCCGCAGCGTTAGACTTAGCCGCCATGTTTCTGCATTGTATTCTGGGATACTTACCCAAGTAACTGGCTCAGAAGGTCTGTTACTTGGGCCAGGCTCGAGTAAGCGCGAGAAGTCATGTGAGCGTTAAATCGAAAGCAGTCGTGCTTGCACAAGTAAGCGTAGGGAGGTAATCGAACACGCTATACAGAGTGTCCCAAAAAAAATGCTCCACTCTCCTTTTTTTACAAATTCAAGCAAACCTAAATGCATACACTTTCTTATTATGCATGGTAAGAATGCTATGTGTCTTGGTTGTTATCTACCAAAAAAAATTGGATCATACTATCAATCCACTAGGGACAGAAATGCTTAAATATGAACTCGCCTCAACTTGCCAACTGCGCTGGGGACTCAAATCACCAATTTTAAAATGTCGATTTTGTCAAGTGTGCTTTTCAAAAATTCTACTTGGTATCTATTATGAAAGACCAGTCATCAGTCGTTGTCAAGCATACAAGAGAAAACCAACCAACCATGGCATTGTCCATTTATTGGACTTTGACTAAAAATACCTATTTGTAAATCAACCACACGTAACAATTGTTCACCTATGGCTGATTGTTCACAAATTTATGCATTGAATTTGTAAAAAAGGAGAGTGGAGCATTTTTTTTGGGACACCCTGCATGAGAATGATGCTGTGTCCAAATTATTTTGCTATGGATGGCAATAATACATAGAGTCTATTGGAAGTGGCTGCAGCGGCTTCCATAGGCATGTGTGTAAGTTCCAGGCAAAGCCAAGTAATTCAGACATGGCCTTATAAGACTACGGCTAGTAATAACACACTGGTCTATGGGAACAGGATAGGTATGTGTAGCTTTGGCCAAGTTCGCGCAAGGACTATAGTTGACCAATGGTTAACTAACGTTTGCCCGAACTCTGTCTAGTCGACGGCGGTTGACTTTGCTAGTCGACTATTTGGAACCAGCCTACTGGGGTTGGTTGCTTCGCTGGTAACCAATAGCCGCGAGCATTCATAACGCTAGCAGAGAGCCAGGATCCAGAAGTTTTGCGATGACATTTTGACCAGCGTTTGACTAGAGACGTTCGCACGTTGCTATTAGTGCGCAGGCGTAAGGTACGTCACAAATCAACCACTAGTCGACTAATGGTCCTTGCCCGAACTTGCCCTTAGCTGTTTGTTGTCAAGCAAGTCGGACATGGCTGGAGTTCAGGGGTTGCAATATCTCACTTGTCCCATTGTAGTGTTCGACTGTTTCCATAATGCATATTGGGGAAAGTTTGGTCCCCTGACAATTCCCTGATGACTCCTAGCTTAGGTAGCAATTAAAGCTATAGTCCATCATTTGCAGCCATCCGAAAAGTAACTGGCGTAATTATTGTTGAAAAACATACTTGGTTGAAAGATAGTAAGGGAACTAAACTCCCTGTGAAATTATTCTTTCTGGGAAGCTGTCATTTTGAAGTAATCAACGAAAGAAGGCATTTCCAACGGTGATTCTTAAGAAGCACCGTAGGAAAATTTAAATTAGTAGTTCGTTCTGTTATTCAGCGCAGCGCGCACAAGTATTGGAACGACGCACACGCGCGCGCGGTTGTTATAATTCGTCGGATCAGTGCGCAACGTCGCGTATTTAGCTGCAATTCAAAACAATTCAAAACATGATTCAGTAACTTTTGATTTGAAATTGAAATCTTAGAATGCTGTTTTTCTCGGAATGTACAGCTGAAGCTCAGCTGAAACTTCATCAGGTTAGTTGCTCAGTATCCTTCATTAGATTTTGAACTCTTTTGTTGCTTCAAACGAACAAAATGCACAAATTACAAATGATGGACTGTAGCTTTAACCATCCACTTTTTAAATTGAAGCCGGGGAACAACACTAAAACTTTCTATGTAAATTTCGTATCTGGGTAAATTTCATATCTCTCCTAAAAGCAGAATAATGGATTAAGCACATTTATGCGCAAAGCAGGAAAAAAAAAATGCCTGAAAAGCAATCGCAAGGAATATTCACTGCATTACACTTTCGTTTTTAACCAATATTTTCCTAGGCATAAACCTCCTACGCTCTGCACATATCCACATTTACGAGCTTCACGAAATTAGACTAAAATTTTACTATAAATTGTTGACATGTACTTACTTCTTCGCACACGTCCTGCCATCGGATATAGTAGCCATAAGCCTCATCGTACTTGCGCATATCCTCATACATGATACCCGTATTCAGTAATATCCGACTTGCCAGAACGCTGTACTCCCCGTACGCTTGAAGGCACAGATCGAAAGCCTCTAAATAATACTGAAAAATAAAGCCCAAAAAATCTGTCACAACTGAACGAAGAAAGTGTTGAGTTTAGTCACATGAACCAGTATGCCCACGCAATGTGTCGTCTGCTGTTAGCATACGAAATCATGAGATAAAGGAATTTGGTTATACCACGGTCAATAGAGGGCAGTATAAAATTAAATACAGTTCAAGAAAAACCATAAATTTTAGACAAAGGGAGAAAGTGTTCAGCTACCTTCTTTTGTTCTTCGCTCCCACGTTCTTCCAACACACCTTTCGTCATGATGGAGTCAGCAAGGTGACCCACGTCATCGAGCTGAAAAGAAAAAAAAGCAAGAAATCACAATTATTGGAGGATTGCAGGATTTTGCAGGATTGGGTAAGGTAGAGCTTAAAGATGCATTCCCTAGAGCTTAAAGATGCATTCCCTAGAGCTTAAAGATGCATTCCCTAGAGCTTAGAGACGCATTCCCTAGAGCTTAAAAACGCATTCCCTAGAGCTTAAAGATGCATTCCCTAGAGCTTAAAGATGCATTCCCTAGACCTTAAAGATGCATTCCCTAGAGCTTAAAGATGCATTCCCTAGAGCTTAAAGATGTATTCCCTAGAGCTTAAAGATGCATTCCCTAGAGCTTAAAGATGCATTCCCTAGAGCTTAAAGATGTATTCCCTAGAGCTTAAAGATGCATTCCCTAGAGCTTAAAGATGCATTCCCTAGAGCTTAAAGATGCATTCCCTAGAGCTTCAAGATGCATTCCCTACAGCTTAAAGATGCATTCCCTACAGCTTAAAGTTGCATTCCCTACAGCTTAAAGATGTATTCCCTAGAGCTTAAAGATGCATTCCCTAGAGCTTAAAGATGCATTCCCTAGAGCTTAAAGATGCATTCCCTAGAGCTTAAAGATGCATTCATTTGAGCTTAAAGATGCATTCCCTAGAGCTTAAAGATGCATTCCCTAGAGCTTAGAGATGCATTCCCTAGAGCTTAAAGACGCATTCCCTAGAGCTAAAAGATGCATTCCCTAGAGCTTAAAGATGCATTCCCTAGAGCTTAAAGAAGATGCATTCCCCGTGCCATTTTCGAGTGTCACCTCAAAAAGAGATTTGCCAAGTTCAAGTACAACACACAGTCCGCCTCCACAGACTTCTCGGACTAGGTGTGTGCGTACAAAACAAATGGGGGATTAGAGTGTTAAAACGTCATCTGGAGGCGAGTCGTGGCACGCTTGACGTTTTAACCCGTCAGCCGTGCCTGTGTGTAGAATCAGCCAGATCGTGTTAACACGTCATCCGACGCGAAGTGGTTTATCGTAATCATTACACAAGGCTTAGTGTCCCACTTGCTTACTGCTTACCTCTTTGAAGATCTCGATGGCGCTCTCAATTTGCTGTCTGCCTTCTTCAGCCGCCTCTTCCACGCTTAGCGTGTTATCCGCGCCGCACTCCACCCAAGCCTGCAGATTGAAGGCTAGCTGGATCTTGATTCGTCCCAGTTTGTACTGTGAGACATCAAGTTGCAAGGAACAAATATTTACACATTTTATAGTCATGTTAAATATGGTTCATACCACAAGTAAGGTCAACATTAACAAGCGATGACTTGACTTGACTTATGACTTGTGATTGTCTTGTGATTGACTTATGTTTTGACTTGAGACTGACGTGCTGTTGACTTGCGATTGATGTGCTATTGACCGGTGATAGACTCGTGATTGACTTGTGACTGGCTTACAATTAGTCTGTGATTGTCTTGTGATTGACTTGTGATTGGCTTACAATAAGAGTGTGATTGACTTGTGATTGACTTGTGATTGGCTTACAATTAGACTGTGATTGTCTTGTGATTGACTTTCGATTGGCTTACAATTGACTGGGATTGTCTTGTGATTGACTTGTGATTGGCTTACAACTAGACAGTGATTGTCTTGTGATTGACTTGTGATTGGCTTACAATTAGACTGGGATTGTCTTGTGATTGACATGTGATTGGCTTACAATTAGACTTGGATTGTCTTGTGATTGACTTGTGATTGGCTTACAATTAGAGTGTGATTGACTTGTGATTGACTTGGGATTGGCTTACAATAAACGGTGATTGTCTTGTGATTGACTTGTGATTGGCTTACAACTAGACTGCGATTGTCTTGTGATTGACATATGATTGGCTTACAACTAGACTGTGATTGTCTTGTGATTGACTTGTGATTGGCTTACAATTAGACTGCGATTGTCTTATTGACTTGGGATTGGCTTACAATTAGACTGCGATTGTCTTATTGACTTGGGATTGGCTTACAATAAACGGTGATTGACTTGTGATTGACTTGTGATTGGCTTACAATTAAACTGTGATTTTCTTGTGATTGGCTTACAATTAGACTGTGATTGTCTTGTGATTGGCTTGTGATTGGCATGCGATTGGCCTTGATTGACTGTGAGGACTTGTGATACAAACAGTGGGGAGGGGAAAGTTGTATATTTTTTTAAACAGGTTAAGGGGGAAGTAGGGGTCATTATTCTTTCGCCCCTTAAAGATATAGTCCATCATTTGTTATTTGTGCATTTTGTTCGTTTGAAGCAACAAAAGTGTTCAAATGATGGACTATAGCTTTAAGTCTGAGAATCAACAGTTAGAAAATACACAAACAAGTTGACTTACCTTGTGTACCGGGCCCTCCAGAGTTTGTCTCAGCGCGATGGACTTCCGTGCAAAGCTGATAACATGCCGGAGATCACGAAGTTGCCAGGGGTCAACGTACTCATACAGCTTCAGTTTCTGAAAAGAAAATTCAGAGAAAAATTCAATGTCTCAATCTCAAATTCAAAATCTTAAAAAGAAAGCCTATAATTTTCAATAAGGAAGCAAGGATGTATGCAATCCATGTTGTGTTATGAAAAAAAAACACTGAGTCTAAAATCGGACAGCTGAATTTTAGAACATGAAAAAAATTCGAGCTAAAAACTGAAGATAAAGACATTACAAGCTGATGTACAAGTTAAAATTTTCCTCAAATTTATATCAGCAATGAGGACTGTCAGAAATACTCCAGAGAGCCTGGAGTTTATGGGCTCCGTGCGCCGACAAAAGAGGGCGCCCTTTTACCACGCAACAACGTCCCATCGGCGGGACATTTCGCTGGTTGACGCGCACCGTTGTTTGTGACGCACGTTCACCAGGGGATTTGTACTATGTACACGCAGTGGCCGCGCTTCGCAGCAAATGAATTGCAGTCAGGCAAGATGGCGTCAGTCGGTCACCCCCAACTGTACTCTCTTTGCCGGCGAGGGGGTACTTGTGAACGGAGCGGATAGAATCCTGAGGGCCAGGTTTCCCCCAAGGCCACGGCTTTCTCAAGGCTCGGTCCAACCAAACATGAGAAGGGTCCTTAACCCTCCGAGCAGCTTATATAAAAAAATCACACCGTGGACCCACATGGAGTATTTTATCACCACATGTGTTTAAAGGTCAATAACCCTGGCATGCCTGTACATGCACAAGATATAGGTCATTCACATGGCCAGGGATTGTTTACAACCTATCTGGGCTCCTGGCGGCACGAGGGGTTGACACAAAGGGATCAGCGGCACTTAGGCATTGGCCACCAAGATCTCCCATTACTGCACAAAGGCATCGGGCACCATCTTGGCTTCTGTCTTTCAACACTCCTTACTCTGCAGTGGTTAGGGTCTGGCCAATGGGAGTCTACAGGCTTGTGGTGTATAGTAGGGGTGAGGATTACATGGAAGCTTGGCCTTATTCAGTGGGCCCACTGAAAAAAAAATTATGCCCATATTTGGAAAATGTGGAGAATCAAATCACCACTTTGCTGCTCGGAGGGTTAATGAAAGCAACTCCCAGACTTACGTCATCGTAGACGGTGCACGTCAGGGCAAAGAGTTCCACCATCCGTTCCGGTCTGGCTCCCAACTCCTGCTCCAACTCCATCGCCTTCTCCAGCAACGTGATGGCGGCAGTGTGCTCTCCCGATTGATTACTGCACAAGAACAATCGTACCCCGATCGGGTTCTTGTTACATTTTAGACCAACAGATTATTGGGTTATTAGATTTTAATCAAACATTATGTCGGCTATTCTATCCTATCGTTCAGTTTTATTTATCGTAAACAACTTCATGAAAATGAAGGCTTCTTTTCAAAAGGCAAAAGAGAATAAACCAGAAAATTTCTCAAGCCTTTAAAACCTCACAAATCCAACCAACCAACAGTTTCACGAGCCAATGGGACAAACACAAAGACTTTCGTAATTAATAAAAACCAGCGCTTACCTCCCCCCCCCCAATATTTTGTAAAGAGTGCCCTTTTTTTTTAACAAGTGCCCTTTTTTCTGAACAAGTGCCCTTTTTGAAAAGAAATTGTTCCCTTTTATATTTTATATTTTAATATTTTGTAAAGAGTGCCCTTTTTTTAACAAGTGCCCTTTTTTCTGAACAAGTGCCCTTTTTGAAAAGAAGTTGTTCCCTTTTGTGTCCCATCGGCCATTCCGGTTGACTTTGGTTTTAATTTCTTGCATGTATCGCACTGAAAAGCACCATATATTGTCCATTAGTGTGCACAATCGTCGGTTTTGAACAGCGCCCCCACCGAAAGATGGTACCCCCCCCCCCCTCCCCCCTCCCCCACTATTTGATTTTATGGAGGCCAAGTCACGGTCCGGAGAAAAAACCTGTCTACATTTCAGCACGGGTGTGCACGTGCCCTTTTCAATAAATATTTACCCCCCAATAAAAATGACAGTGCAACGCCGTTTATTGCACTGTTTATTATTATTAACACATTGGGAGTGCTACAACACTCTCAAACACTCACACAACTCTAGATATCTGCTCATAGCGCATGGCCAGGACTTCTTTAGAAGTATCCTCACTCGCCACCAGTTTCTCCAGATTCTCTCTGTAGTTGTTGCCCATCATCTTCTGCCATCCCTCGCCGTGACCCTGGCAAAAGGATAAAAAAAAAAAGATAAAAACTCAGATATTACTGATGTCATGAATAGTTGAATTGTCTTTTAACCAGTTCGCGCCGGGATTATTTTGACAAGAACAGAACGAGACGCGGGATTACTTTTCACTCGACCTCAAGCCAGGCGGGTTGAAGCCATCACCCTCATATTTCCGGCCTCGCTCGCTGCCAAGCGAGTCGCTGACAGATATATTTCTGGCCTTGCTCGTTTCGTGTTTATCCGTCATCCGTTCCCAATTCCGCAAAACCTTTGCATGTATACACATCAACCGGCGCGAACTGGTTAATATTATGGTTCTTGGTTGGTTCTTCTCCTAAGGACTTCCACAAGGGAGTATAACTAGGAGGTCAGAAACACCGGGGCAAACCCCTTCTCTTAGCGATAAGTGTTACTGGGTTCTTTTACGTGCGTTAGGCCTTATACAACACACAGGACCTCCGGCTTAACGTCCCATCCAAAGGACGAAGCAATAATGGTTAAGTGCCTTGCTTAAGGGCACAAGTGTCCGCCGGCGGGCTCGAACCCACGCCACTGCTGTCTCTGAAACACCAGAGTATGAGTCCGGTGCTCTTAACCGCTAGGCCATGACACTCCACATGATAATACCCATTGATCTGAATTGAACAGATAAATCGAGTGGTTGCTAAAATAAAGCTGGACATTAGAAGAGTTTTGGTAAGTTGGAAATTAAAGGTTGAATCCCACTCTAGTAAACTTCTTTATTCAGCGAAATATTGATTGCAATATTTGTTCTGTTTTATGGACTGCTAGCTCACCTCTCGCCAGTACTTGAGGAGTAAAGTGCTGTAATCTTCGTTGTACAATTTATCAAAGACGTCCCAGTTGGTCAAGAAAGCCGTCAAACGCTGCGTGTCTTCCAATTTAAGAAGATGAATCGGCAGTTCCTTTATTAAATCAAATAAAATTGTATTTTAAATCATCAAATAATACTAGGTAAACCTTTTAGGGCTTTCGATTAGCATCCAATAAACAAAGTTATTTAAAAATTTGGGACTGCCAACATCAGGCTGGATAGCTCAGTGGACGAATCCTGGCAAGTGATCACTGTGTACACATGAGACTCCCTTCACTGGCAAGTTTTTGTACAAAGCTACTGTCCAGTGACGGATTACCTAAACAATAGCAAGCACAATGCTTTCGCCATTGAAGGGGGCCTTCATGATAGGATCGACAGCGTGCCCAAAATGGTCTATATGGTGTTCAAAAGGTCACATGTTCAAGTCCTACACCGAAAAAATTGTTCATTGAACAGAATGTTGATGAAAAAAAAATTCAAATTAAGAATCTAAAACTGTGCTGTATGCATGTAGTTGAATCTTGAATGTTAATAATTTTGGCCCAAAACTGACCCCCCAAAAAAGACTCAGACACCAGAACTACATCTAGATTTCCCAAATCCATACTTAATATAGCTCAGTTCGTGTTTTGAAGGTTTGGTACCTAAATGTTTTCTCATTATTAAAGATTTAATAATAACAAAAAAAGGGAGTTACTTCAACTTTGCGTTCGACATGGTCCGACTCGTTGAAGAAATCAGCCAGTTTCTTGTGCCACCACATCTGGTCCGAGACCGGGGAATCGCTTTCACTTGAAAAGTACCTGGACATGTGTAAAAAGAAGAGAATACATCTGATCTTTAGACAGGATTTCAGGTGAGAATTTTGTGAAAATAAGTACACTTGAAACTGCACATCCGTAATTAACAGTTGTCTTGAAAGCTATGCCGAATACATCAAATATTTGAATGTTAGATCATCAACCAAAATATCCAAATATTTTTTTTCCATTCAAATATTCAACAAGCATGAGATGTCTTGAGGATACGATGATGTAAATCTTTCGGGGCCCTTAAGCGGGCACTGAACCCCACGCTGTAATTTTTTGGACCCACTTTTTGGGTCCAAATTTGTGTTCTGGATCCGCCCTTGATCCCAATTGGCGGCCAGAAAAGGCAGGCGTATGATTAACATGATTGGTGAATTTTGAAATCTAACACAATATCAAGTCCAAGTTGGGAATATCGAACACTACATTATTGGAAACTGCACACCCCCAGTTGTCTTGAAGAAAACTTTCCAAAGAAAAGAGAACCTTACTTTTTGCGGACAGCTTTGCTGAGAGCCCGGTGGTAGAAGTCCAGCCTTCCCTCCCCGCTCTCCCCAAACGGTCGCAGGAATGGTTTGAGAGCTCGGAAGACCACCGCCCACTTGGCCGCCGCTAGAGGCCCGACATCTTTGTTCTTCTTCTCGGCGCCTTTATCTGTGAAACAAAACGTCAAGTTGGGTTCAGTTTGTCCTAGTGCTGTAGTGGAGTCCACCACATGTCCATCACAAGTCCTTTCGGAATTCCAGTCACGAATAGCCCTTTGATGACAGCCATCGCGACTCTGGGCCACATATTCCTACCTCCATGATCTGACTAAAGGGCGAAGCTATGAACAAGTTCAGGCAAGGACTTTGGTTAACCATAGTTCGACTAATTTCACTAGTCGACCATTTGGAAATGGACCACGTCAGGGCATGGTTCCGTCCCTGGTGACCAATAGCCACGCATATCATAATGCACAGCAGGGAGCCAGGATCAAGAGGATTTGTGGTGATGCTTTGACCAGCCTTTGACTAGAGGCGTTCGCACGTTGTTTTTAGTAAGTAACGCCACGAATCAAGCACAAGTCGACTAACGGTCCTCACCCAATCTTGCTCTACGACACCAACTGAGTGAAGACAAAACACACTAGTTTAGGGTTAATTGGTTAAATTAACCCTATAACCTTCCCAGACATTTTAAACTCCATGGAAAGGTTTGGAGGATTTTGTAGAATTAAGGAAGGTAGGGACCTGCCATTTTGACTTTCCGTGGGGCTTAAGTGCAAAGAATACTCAACTGGTTTCCTGCACATCAGAGATCCTGTAGGTTTTTGTAGGATTAAGGGATGTTCTAAAATATGAAAAGACCAGGAATTTAGATTCAAGTTTTAGAAGGAGGCAGGAAATCCTACCTTTGCCCGTTTCCGAATCCTTCTCCTGAGGCAGGAGATTGTCTTCGTCTCCAAGGATCTTCAGAATTTCCGTCTCAAGGAGCCCAGTTGCCGAGGTTTCCAGGAGACAGAGGGTTGCCGATAGCAACATGCCGCCGTTCTTTTGCTCAAAGCGCGTGAACACTTGCTCCAGCAATCTGCAAACCAAAACGGTCTCGTTAGATCTGTTAAGAATCGTTTGATCAATGGAATACAAAAGACCAATGTGTTTCATGCAATAATATTCTCCGAACAAAACAGTTTCTGGCAGTGACTTCTTTTTTTTAAGACAACTTGGAGGAAGATGTCATTGTACTGATAAATCATATCTGTGAGGCGTTATGGAAAAATGACATGGAACTGGGCAAAGGCCGTAGTGGAGAAAAATGCAAATAACTGAACGGGGTGATTTTTTAAAATTTTCAAATTTATTGATATTTGAAATCTTTGATGTGACTACTTTTAAAGAAAAAATATTAAAAATCCTGGAATAAAAGTGTTTTCTGGAAAAACAATTGGCATCGTTTATTCTCACGACTACAAAACTCAAACTGTAAAGGCCTTTTTCACAGTATTTTACTTTTTTGACGAATTGATAAAAAGTGAACTTCAAACAGCCATAACTTTGCAACAGAATGTCCGATTAAAGTCAGGCATGCAACTGGGAAGTCACAAAAAAAAGAGGAAATTCAGATTTTTCCAAGACTTTGTACAGTGTTTTTCTATTTTCAATGGCACACATGGGAAGTACAAAAAGAGGAAATCAGCTGATCCGAGGAAAAGTTGCATGCCTGTAAAGTGCAACAAACAGTTTTGTATGGAGAATTTAATCCTTTTTCCTAATACCCGCAAAAACTCTTTCGACCTCTGCCCAGTTCTGTCTCATTTTGCTAGAACGCCTAACATATGATGAGCTCCACTGTAATGCTTTTACTTTTGAACAAGCAAGGAAAACTCACTCAAGCAGCCCGTCTGCCATGTTGTTGATTTTGTCGGTCAGACGATCGAAGAGTCCAAACACACGGAGTTCCTCGCAAGCCACGGCCAGCCACAGAGGATTCTGAGAAGACTCCTTAGCTAAGAGACTCTCCATCTGTGCAGCATCCAGACGTTTGTTGTACATCCCTAACAGCTCCGTGACAATCTCCTATGTGACGAGAGAAAAGGATTTTTTTTGGACGCATGTTCGATTTTGGGGGGTAATCCAATGATTTTTGGGCGAAATTTCCATCCGAGGATGTTACCCCAAAAAAATATTCCTGAAGCCCATCGCCATTTTGAAAAATGATGCGTGCTCCATTGCAAAATAGAGCACTCTTAGGACCCAATTTCATTCGAATTTCACAGAAATACAAGGTTACGGTCCTGTGCACGGCCTCCCCCCTTCTTTTTTACAAACCCTCAAGTTCATAGCTCACAAAATGATCTTATACCAAAGAATTTGAGGGCATGCAAATCTTGATTTGGCCGGCGCAGGCAATTTTGGACCAATTTACTGGTCTGCATCCGTTAGCTACCTGACTGTTGATCAGCACTGTTCATGGAATAAAGAGACTTCAAATTATGTCTAATGTCTCCTATCTGCCAAGCTTATCCCTGGGCGTATCTAATCACAAGGTACCCGACTGTATGATTAGCCTGAATCATGCAATAAAGACACTTCAAATGAGGTCTAGTACCCTACCTTCCTAGCTTATCCCCATGCTAATGGCAAGGCACCTGACTGTATTAAGTAATGAAGAGACTTCAAATGAAGTCTAGTACCCTACCTTCCTAGCTTATCCCCATGCCAATGGTAAGGTACCTGACTGTATAAAGTAATTAAGAGACTTCAAATGAAGTCTAGTACCCTACCTTCCTAGCTTATCCCCATGCTAATGGTAAGGTACCCGACTGTATAAAGTAATTAAGAGACTTCAAATGAAGTCTAGTACCCTACCTTCCTAGCTTATCCCCATGCTAATGGTAAGGTACCCGACTGTATAAAGTAATTAAGAGACTTCAAATGAAGTCTAGTACCCTACCTTCCTAGCTTATCCCCATGCTAATCGTCAGGTACCTGACTGTATTAAGTAATGAAGGGACTTCAAATGAGGTTTAGTACCCTACCTTCCTAGCTTCCATATCCAGCGGTGTGACGACCACCTCCTGCGGTTTATTAGGACGTTCCACGAGGGATTTGTGGGGCGGAGTGTCATTGATCATGGCCAAGATCACTCGCACCTGGGGCGCCAGTTTCCGTGGCAACCAGCTGAGCAGAGTGGAGGACTTGTCGTCATCAAACTATTAAACGGGAACGACAAATTTCAAGGCAGTTACAATTTTTTTCATTGTAAATTTTGTGTTTCAAATTGTATGCATCAGCTCAATTTGAAGGAAGTTGGTAAAGAGCAAAATAGAGAAAACACAACTCATGAAGAAAATGCAATCCAAATGTTGATTTTGTTGGACTCGATTCATCAAAAGCATCATAACTGTGTATACCTAACACATGTACATGTTGAGCATGCAAAACAAACTTTTAAAAATGATTTCTTCTGTTTTGGGTTTTTTTTTTATTATTTTAGATTATTCCACCTTTTTTTCACTGAAAAGAACATTACTTAAAATGCATAGTGCAACTTAGGTCATATCTTACCAGAATGGGTCACAATTTTTTCACTTATACACACAAAAATTAAGTAGTACTCTTACATTTTAAAGGAAAGATTTTTCTTTAATTTTTTTCCCCATTCTGTTTTTTTGTACAAACCTGATTGAGGGCATCAATGCATATAATGACAGGTCTAGTCTTTGGGTTGCTCAGAACGCTGCAGACCAACTGACATGCCGCTTCCAGATTCTTTGGCATCGTTGCTTCCTGTAAAAAAGAAAAGAAAATGTCTTCTTTTTTTGAAATTGGTAAAGGCGGAAAGAAATTGTACGCAGTTTGATCGAGAACCACAGATTGCAATGGTTAAACTGATGAATTCCAAGCAAACTGTACGGCTTCCAAGTGGTTTTGGGTTTTCTCCAAGATCTTCAACAAATTATTTGACATATAAATAAAAGGTTCGGCCATTTTCATCTGTAGAAAGACACTTGTTGAACCATCAAACAGCTTGGTTGAAACTTGGACGGAATTTCAAAAAAGGGAAAGTCAAATTTTTTTTCACACCACAAATTACTGACTCTATATTTGAATGCAATTGTTTCTGACATTAAAAGTGAAAGTGAAAATTGTCCTGTCACTTCATATTCTATTTTTTGTGTGTGGAAAACTTGGGTGTTTACTTACATTAACTTGGTTCAATTCTTTCAGAAGTCTTTTCAGGCACTTCTCCAAGTCCGTGGAACCTGGCACGGCACCAACAAAATGGTAGAAGACGTGCCAACCCTGCCCACCGCCACTGCGATCAAAATTTCAAAAACAAAATTGCTATAAAAACTGCACTGAAGCTTAGATCAGTACAAACAACTCCAGGGTACAAGCACCCCCTCAATGGTAACAAAATTGAGAAAGTGCACCCATATTGAAGGACCACTAGACGCCATCTTGCCTTGTGCAGACTGGTATACGTCCATTACATAACCTATGAATAGTGTGTGGAACCAGTGCAGTGTCCTTCACACGTACTGCTCGATCTTCTCCAGGGAACCAGTGAAGCATCCTTCACACGCGCACTGGTTATCATGCACAGCGCCCTCCGTTGTTAGCGCACTACCAACTCCGTACTCACCCAGGTATCTTCTTATTCATAGCCAAGGTCTGCGCCACGTCGGCCGTGCGGGCCATGATGGACGACTTTCCCGTGCCTGCTCCACCGGTGATCATCAAGGTCTTGTCTTGACCCAGGTCCACGACGTACTGCTCGATCTTCTCCAGGATGGCGTTGCGGCCCAGAACGGAGGCGCCACGACTCTTCAAGAAAGACTGAAGTAAAACATTTCAAATCACAAAGTTCAGTTTGAGGCAAGCTGTCAGATCTGAAGTAGAGTTTTCCAATCTTGTGAAGCTGCAGAACAAACTTCTGCAGTGAACAGTTGTTCCAGTGTGCCACGTTAGGGAACACTCGGCCGATTTTGTGCCCAATTTCTGAACGCCACCGTGTTTGAATTTCAGACTAAATTTCATGACACTGAAATTGTAACGTTCACGGAAATTATACGTCCCCTACCTCATGAGCTTCCTTAGCTTGTTGATAGGGATCTTGGCTGGCATCCACCAACGGGTACTGGGCTTCGATACGGCACTTGAAGAAGGAAAAGACCTAACCACAGAATAAAAGCAAAAAAAAGGGGGAAATTTAATGAATTTTCCCTTCAAGGAAAGATCAACTGATTGGGCCTAAGACTTTTGAAATCACCAACTCAACATTCAGGTGCTATGGAAAGACAATACAACAAAATTTGAGGTTTAAATAAGACAAAAATGATAGATGTATAATAATTCAGACATGATTCTATAAAGGAATTTGACCGTTTTGATGCATCGTTTTTAGTACTTAAAAGGTTTTCTTTAAATGCAGAGCTACAAACCTCTTTGGAGAAAAATTCGTCCAAGCCACTAAATTCAGCCTTGCCATCTTCGTCAATTCCGGCAAACTCGCAGTCGTACCACTTCACTCGATCACGCTGGAAATGAAAAAAAAAAAAAAAAAAGAACCAAAAAACACTGAAAAGTCTAACAAGCACAGAGCGAGAAACAACACAATGTTTAGTGTTTCTGTCATGATTGCGAAATAATACCCTTTTTGGAAACAATGTTTTTCATGCATTTGCTCAAACACTTTCAGCACTTTTGAGCAAAAAATACTTGAACCCCAACATGACGGGTAAAATGGGACCCAGACCCAGCATTTAACTGTTCTCCAACCCAAAACATTCCTGAACCTACCAGTTTGCCTTTCAGCATCTGTTTGAGCATGCCCAGCTTGTGAGGGGCGATGGGGTTAGGGTCCACGAAGTCCTTCTCATATTCCTCCGGGAGGTTCTTCAGAAACGAGGAATTCCGGATCATGAACAGAGCTGAAAAGTGGAAAGCACGACAAATTAAACGTAAGAATTGTGCACCAACTGGGATATTCTTATATAGGGTATCTTAAATATGGCTAAGGACTATTCTTGAGAAGTAGTCAGTTGATGATCAGAGATTGTGATTTTGTTGTAGTAAAGTAGTTAAGTCTGTCACGAGCCAATATGGCCCATCGGGCCGGTGTTTATCTCCAGTTTCCTTGGCACGAAACAACGGAGAATATTTCTACTTCCCCTGGATGGGATGCCAGTCCATCGCAGGTTACTCCCCAGCTAATGCTGGTATCCATTATACTCCTGGGTGGTTAGGGACAAGTGGGATAAAGTGGCTTGCCCAAGGACACAACATTTGGCCAGTAGGTGGATTTGAACCCCTGACCCTCTGATCATGTGTAATGAACCCTAACCACTATGCTTCACTCCCCAATCTTGTAGATTACATGCCAAATCATACAAGTTTTCTACAGGCAACTTGGAGGCAACCAAATGTACCACAACCTAAACGAACCCCAGAAAGATTAAAGTGCATTTTTTCAACTTTCTCAAAAATTACAGGGATTTAACATTTGTCTTTTTTGTTATTTTAATTTTTTTTTAGATTACCCGGAACAAGCTGCCTTTATAGACCAATCCAGGCACGACATCACTTCTAGCACGAAGGCCCTCTTTAATGGCGAAAAGCATTGTGCTAGCTGCCATTGAAGGGGGCCTCATGTGGCGCAACCTTGAGATTAAAGTGTGAGTCACCAGTGACAGTGGCTCGCCAAAATTAAGTCTGTGAGACCGTTAAAAGAAAATCCAAAAGCTAGCAGACTTCCAAAAACGTGAAATGCTTACAGTTGGGATTGTCGATGCGGTACGCGCCGTGCAGTATTTCCATTTCGGTGACCGACAGTCCTGGTACCCAGCGGTATTCCCTGGCTAACGACTCGGGTACATCGTAAGGGGTTGGGATCCAACCGCAACGCTCACTGTAATGTGAGAAATTTGTTGAATATTTAATCAAGAGCAACAATAGACCCTCTCCCTCCAACTAAAAAAAAGTACTGCAAGTTGAACTTGTGCGATCTTCCTGGCATGGTGGCAGTATTTATACAGTAAGTTAGTAAGCACACTTTTCAGTGTAGCTAACCAAAATGAACAATGACCTCATTTGACCCATAGATGACCTTTTGACCTCAAATGTCTCAAGTCATCTTAAGTCCCCGTACCAAGGATTATTGTCACCAAGTTTGGTTGAGATTGAAGTCTGACTTTTCATATGACAGCACTAAACAGTTAACCTAACCAAACTGGAACACACGGACGGACACACAGACACACAGAAGGAATACACTATCGTAATATCACCCTTTCTGGGATAAAAATTACCCTTTTGTTTGAGAGAATAATAATTAAGATCAAACTTGGATACTTTCATACCTTGTGAGATTGAGGAAAAAAGGCATGACGTTGTCTTGGTAACAACGATCGATTTCTCCAAGGCAAAGACGCAGTGTCTCTTCGGTGGATGTGTCTTTGGGAACTCCCTGTCAAAAGTAACAAATTTTGAAGGTAAAAATGGGGATACATGTATGTGGCTGGTTTTTTTTTTTTTTTGAAACCATGGATTTGTCCCTGGGGTTTGGCTCATATTGCATTTGATATTGTATGGATACATGACAGGCAGAGTCCTTTAATATGAAGCTTGAGCCTAGGATGCAGCCCTGATTTCAAAAACGCCCACAAACTCTGTTAACAATTTAGGCAGAATGCAGATTATGTCTAGTACATTTCAATCTGATTGCAATAATTTTTGTGTCAACCTATGCAGGAGTCAGATATGTCGGAAATGTTGTCGGCAATTACAGCGTTATGAAAGATAAGTGTCATATCCGTGACGGAGCCAATTAAAGCCAAAAATAAAAAATATTTGGTTTCTGGTCAGACCAAAGTTCCGGAATTGACGTGGCCACGCGGCTTTTTTTTTTTTTTTTTGGCTTTTTTTTTTTTTCTTCAAGCTTGGATTGTACAGACAAGGTGGGGTACTATTTTGCTTTTTTGGTGTCCTCATGTACATTGGTGTCCTCCATAATTTGCCTTGGTGCTTTCGATCATTTGCCTTGGTGCAATTTTCCATTCCTTGGTGCTCTTTGGTAAAAAAAATTGAGGAAGTGCGGAAATAGAGGGCGCTGTTGGAGCTACCGCGGAACATTTTGGGGAAAAAAAAGATCGACGCGCATGATTAAAATCGACGCGCGCGCTGACCAGAGACCGAATTTTTTTTTTTTTTGGCCTAACCATGGAATCTTTTTAATGATTCAGAGAAATGATCCCAAACTCCTAGTCTGTAATCTCCCTAACCGTTACTAGATGATGGATGTATAAGATTTGAAACATACATTCTCAAGTGTATTTACTGAGCTCTCAACAAGCTCTGCTACGGAAATTTTATAATGCTGGAATTTCCCTACTATATTGGTCAAAATGGATATGAGAGAGATTTCACATGGGTTGGGATTATGGTCGGGTCATCAATAGATTTTCCTGCTTGATATGTGTATATCAGTGGAACCACAATTTGGAAAACTGCATGGTTAAAAGTTCAATATGATTTTAGCTCTTTTCCTTACACACAGTGGATGTGAAACTGTGTTGCATGCAAATAATTTCTTTGCAATTTCCATCAGAAAATAACACAATTAAAACCTGCAACAATGGAAATATTTTAGGGTTAAAATATTATTCTTGTCTCTTTTCCTTGTGCACAACAAATGTGAAATATGTTGAATGCAAATAAATGTTTTCAATTCCACCAGAAAATGCAACAAAGACCTGTTAATTTGTCGCGTGTAAACTGTGCATTGAATACCGATGCAAGTCACAAAAATTACGATCAGCGATAAACTGAAAGTATTTTTTACATGCATGCAAGTGCAATTCAGCTCTACATGTATTTGACTTGTTGTCAAAGGGCCTGTGGTTGCCAGGCAACTAATAAATGCGTATACACTGTTGCCAAGGTCAAACACACGTGCGAAACAGCAAACAATGGGATCGGCTCTTGGGCTGTGAAGTCGTTCAAGATGCATGCTTTCTGTTCAAACAATGACAATGGTGCCAACACAAACAACTTCAATGGTTTGGGGCTTGTAATACCGTGATGGTGAATTGAACAGGGACTGTGAGAACTATTTCAGGCATTTATGTAAACTGGGGAATTACATGTGTTCAAACCAGTTGTAGTCATTAGGAACATTGGAAAAACATGTTGCAACCTGACGCCACTTCCGCGATTGTGTACAAAGTCTATGGAGAGTCAAGACAAGTATTTCCTCACAAAATTGGAAATATTTCTCAGTCCCAGATTCATGTCCTTCATTCATTTTAGCAATGACTGACCTTCATTGAGATGATATATGAAGAAAAAAAGTGGCGTCAGGTTGCAACATTTTTTCCAGAAAATTATTGGGTAATAGTCTAAAAGGGTATTTAACTGATATCAAATTGCGTCAATAATCTATTAACAACTTAAAACGTAATCACAACGAAAAAATGGAAAGAGCTCTTTTTAAGCATTGGGAAATTCTCGTCTGGTGCTTGTTTCGAGTAACGAGAGATGGTCACGGACTGCTTGATTTTGGAAAGAATGTCAGAACAATGTTGCGGTGAAATGCTATATCTAAAATCTATTCAATAAAATATTGATTTTGTTAAATGCATGTTTTCTGTGCACATTAGCGCTAATTAAAACTAAGGGTAAACTCAGACTCTGGAAATAAAGATTCTGACTGAAAAAATACCTAAATGAATAAAAAATGTATTTTTCTTTCTTCGTTTTGCAAATAAATCACTCACTGGCTAATCGCTCTGCCTGTAAGACAGCACACTTTTAAAACATACAAAAGGGAAAATAATGGAGTGAAACATGAAGTCCACATAGAAAGGCAATGTTTTCTTTTCTTTACTAAGAAAAATCAGCAAACGTTCCTGAAAAGGGATAGAGAGCAAAAGAGATTGAACAAACTTACCCATCGCAGGTCACACTCTACAAGATGCAATCGTCTAGTCTCACACCACTGTCTCAAGTCGGGGAAAACCTGGGGCAAAGAAAAAGATATTTACCATGAAATCCATCGCCACCAAAATCATTTTATTTAAAGTCGTACAGACTTCATATTTCAAATAGGTTTCACAATGAAACACTTTAAATATCATTTTTTTTCTCCCATTTTTCTTGTAATATTCACTTAGCTCAAACACAAAAAGGTAAGCTTATATAATTGTTTGCATTGAGAGATAGTGTACATTACAACCAAATAAACTCTGCAATATCATTTCAGACTGGCAAAATTTTTCTAAATTGCCGCTGACTGTTTATTTTTGTGGTCGTTTAGAATGACTTTAAGCATGAAAGAGCTTTAAACATGACAGCCTGATGTTGCACTTCTTTAAATATTTTTTTAAAAAAGGCCTGTTCATGCTCCCTCCGGACAACTGAGGGCGCTGATGCTGTGATGTCATTTCAGGAAGACACTGTTCAGTTTAGGAGGTTTTCCGCTCAAATTGTGAAGCCCAAAATTTGCTCATTGAAAGCATCCGTGAGAAAAGTTTGCTTATTGGCATACATGTACTAACTGCCATGACAAAAACGAATTGACAAAGAAAAGAAAATTTACAACAGCAAAATATCCAAAATTCTGGCTACTTTCGGTGCTGAAATATATGTAAATATTGAGGTTTCTGCCTGAAATGACATCACACTTTTGCTCATGAATATGGAAATTTGCACTACATAAGAACCAAAAAAGGCACCAAAATACCCTTGAAAATGGCAGAACGAAAATTGAAAATAAGGTTAAATGGGACACAAAGATGCATTTTCAAGGATCGCATTAAAAAAATTTACATTGCATATGGGCCCTTCAACGGTTGGATTAACTCACCTCTTTGACCAGTATTTCTCTTTCAGCGTGGAAATCCTTGAACGTGGAGGACACAAAGACGCGAATCGTCTTCCATCCCGACCGCTTGATGACCAGGTTCTTTTTGGATGCTCCTCTCGCCAACGTCTTGCCCACATGGTCCCACGTCTGCTGGACCATGTACTTGTAGTCCGAGGGCCCCGAGGGCACATTCATGGATTTGGAGCCACCACAACCCATGGCGACGCAATAATTTCAAGATTGTTGGACGGGGCGCAGGTTTTTTGTTAACCAGTTAATCCTGGGGGAGATTCAAAATGAAATGAAAATATAAGAGATTTAATTGGAAAGACAATGACTTGGAAAGAAACTGGGACATAAGATTGAAGAATTAAGGGGAAAACTACCGATGAACACATTCCTTCAATACAGAATATCCCGTACGTTATTACTTATGGCACATGAAAAAAAAACATATAAGAGGCCTAGGTCCTAGCTACCCCTAGAACTATGGTGCTCCTTGTAACTTAGAGGAGCATGGAGCGCCATAGTTCTAGGGGTAGGTGCCTGTTGTCTTTTTATTTGCTCCCAACAAAATTGTAGCTAGGCCATATGACGTCAAAGGGGTATGGCTCCATTGGAATAAATTTTGTATTTATCAGCAAAACAGTCGAGAAAATGGAAAAATCCATCGGCCTTCTTGGAAAATTTGCCATCTTGGGGAAAAAAAAACAAGAAAGGGGTCACCTCCTCAGCCATTCCATGGTGACTCGCGTGACATTTGAACAAAATGTAAAGTTTTAATGCATTACTGTTGTTAACCTGGCATTTATTCAACTCAAATTAGCATGTATTTGAGTCAGGGCATTGTGAATTTATGGTTTAGTCTTTATATGATTACTTTAAAATCGCTATTTTTTCATGTATCACAGTTTCTTTGACGTGACTCGCATGACAGGATAGAAAAAGGGATTTTTGACATCCCTTGATTCAAATAGCTTTTCCTATGGATCTACCAGTGTTCTAAAAATTATTCTTACAGAACTTAGAACTTAATACCCTCACCCAATACATGTATAAGTTGTATTGTGCCAAATATCCCTTGTTGTAAGAAATGGCCTGAAGTAAATGTGACTCGCGTGACACAAATGCGTGACTCGCGTGACACAGTAGCTTTTCACTTTCACATTATAACTGTAATTTTAGTATAACAAATCAAATCATAATATTATATAAATAAAAATGATTTACCTGTGAATACCTTATGAAAGAGTGTGAAAACTGCTATTTATCCCTTTACTTTGGCAAATGTTGGGGGTGGAAATCTGGTTTAAGCACAATATCCTTAACAATGACATAGAGAGAAAAAAATGTTTTGGAATTTTAGTTACGAAGTGATGTCATCAATCCACGGGTGATTATTTCAGGAAAACAGTTGTAATTCTTGGTCATGTAGAGTCACAGTTTCCTTAAATGGTAAGATCGAGCTGCAATTAATGATGCAGTTGTATCGGAATGTATACAGTACAGTCGAATCTCGTTTGTACAAACTCTGGTAATACAAAATTCTGGTTATAACAAACATAAAGCCTTAGTCCCGACTGTGCATTTATGTGCACAATGAATGGGACTGATGTTCCTCTTAGTACATAATTCTGATATAACAAACAATTTGGCTAGGTCCGAACGAGTTTGTATTAACGAGACTCGACTGTATACATTTGTAAAAAACTGATTCAATTTCTTGTTACATAACTAATGCTTTTAAAGACTTAATTCGAATTCTATAATTTAATAGGGCCTATGGCATTGTTTCTTTGTATTACATGTAAATGAAACATTCCTGGCTTGTGACCAGGCGCGGATCCAGAGGGTTTTTTTTGGGGGTCACCCCCCCCCCCCCCCCTGCTCTGTCCCAAAAAAATTCTCATACAAATTCCTGAAGAATAAGTCGAACCCCCTCCCCCCCCCCCCCCCCCCCCCCCCCCCCCCCCCCGCGTGACACACCCAAAAACATTATACTGGTCTAATGTCCGCCTGTTTAAAATACGGTACACCATTCTGTTATGTGTTAATAATCGTCGAATTTGAACAGCGCCCCCAATTGAAATTGCCGTAGATCCTGAATAGAGATCAGTGCACGTGGCCCCCAGACGATAAATGCATGGTACAGGAAACAGCCGTCGCATTTGCAACTCGCGCCCTCGCTCGACAAGCAATTTGCATAAACGCGACGTCACAGCTTGAGGTCATCTCTTGTCACATTCAAAATGGCTGCCATCACCAGACGTTTCACGAGTGCATATGGGCTCCAGAAAGATTCAAGAATATCTTGGAAAATTGAACATCATTACACCCAAGCATCCCAGAAGTGAAAGTTGGGACATCGTAGAATATAACCATATGTAAGAAATTCGCTGTTGAAATTATGAAAACGTCCTCAGTAGTGCGCAGACCACGGTGTGTGGCCTTGGGTTCAGCGCAGCATACCGACGGCCACACTAGTGGGGCTAATCCAGGCACCAGACTGTTCCTCATTTGCATACGTGTTCAAAAATCTTGCACATGCAAATGATCCAATACCAGGGTGAGAGAGCAGGTAGTGATGGGCGCGTACTGTTCGACACCCTGGGTACGAGGTTGTCCTTCCTCCATGCTCCAAAGTCCAATATCCCAATTAGGCCCCTATTTACACCACGTTTCACTTTCAGAAGCCGGCCATGTCGAAAGTCAATCACAAAATGTACGATCATTTCTATTTCCACTGCTCTAAATTACTCCAAATACATAAACGCAAATGCTTAATACAATGTACTTACCAAACAGGTAAATTATACGCCTCATTGACACTCAAAAGAAGGGATTTTTGAGGGTCTTTTGGGCCGCTCTCTTTTCTCAGTGCAGATAAATCCTCGTATGCTGCTTGTTACCACGACTTCAATAAAGCAGATCTAGTGCTTGCAGTAACGGCCTCTTGGTGCCAGTCTAACAGCGTTTCTTCGTTGCCTTGGTGCAGTGTGAATGAACTACCCTTAACCGCGGACCGAACCTATACCGTATACGTGCCTTGCTCTTAATTGATTTGTATACGACAAGTGTCAAAATTACAGCCTGCAACCGGCAATTAACAAAAGACCCTAAATAAGGTAAAACGACTGCAGACAGTTTTATCAGGTTCTTTCTCACCAAGTTTTTTTTTAATTTGCAAATACATTTTTTTCCAACTAGAATACATTACATGCAACGATCGTTTTAATAATGATTTTTATGTTTCGGTATGCTTCCAAATCCAAGTTTCAATCAGCTTATAAAATTGACAAAAACTATTAACTTTTCAGGCTAGAGCTCCATGATCTGCATGTCGGATCTATAAATAAAAAATGTGACTTGAAATTTATATTTTAATGTTATATATGCTGCAACAATTTGGGATGCCTTTATGTACAATCAAAATATTTAAGGCACATAACCTATATTCCGGTATTAACGGCGAATAAACAAACCAAAAGTTAAGAAAAGAAACTCTCTTAATTTTTTTCTCAAACAATATCCTTGTCATCAACCATATGAGCGTTTTCTGCCCTTTGTTTCTTCACTGAATACTTGTCTGCAAGGTCGGTAATCCGAGGGGAAATCCCCCCCCCCCCCCCCCCCCCATGGAAGGCAATGTGATCACTCCCCTCAGAATTTTGTGGTGAAGAACAAAGAAATGAATGCAAGGTCAACTTGTAACTTTCCGAGGGTGTAAATGAATTACCCATAATCGGAGAACATTCGTAAAAGCTTCAAAAATGCACCCTTTCATGTTGTCCAGCAAATAATTTTATGTTGTCCAAGTCGACCCGACTTGAATTTTCTTTCAATAGAGGGCGCACCACATAAATAGTGGTGGTTACAACCACTGACAAAGCATCAACACGGATGCCTCACTTTTGAACAAAATGAACGCACTCATGCTTCTGGCAATAACTCAGGAAATACCAGTTGTATTCAATTGCAATTTTGTCCGACGATTTGTCATAATGTGTAACATTAACAGATAAAAGTTTGTAAGAAACCAACAAGCAATTAAAATATTATGACCGAAACATGAACGTTGGCATTCAGATTGTAGTTTTTGGCGTTTAAAACAGTTTTGTTTCGGTCATATTATTTTGTTTGTCGTTTCTCATGAAATTGAATCTCCTCATGTTATACACAACAAGACTGGTCACTAAAACGAAATTAGATTTAAAACTTAAAACAACTGGCATTATTTTGTCGGGTTATTGCGCCCAACACAACGAGTGTGTTATTTTTCCATGAAAAATTAATATTTTGGGGCGTTGTTTCGGGTCATATATTTTTTTTAAATTGTTTGACGGTTTTTAAATGACATATAATGTCATATCATTGGACGAAATAGCAATGAAATACAGCTGGTATTGTTTGTGTTATTGCCCACTAAGCACGAGTGCGTTCTTTCTGTTTAAAAGTGAGGCATCCGAGTCAGTGATCATTTTGTCAGTGAAGGTAATTTTATTTATGTGGCGCGCCCTCTATAGCTAACGAAAATAGTAAAGTGCACCGTTTGCTTCCCTCGTTTCTGTGCAAGAACACTATTTTGCTAAAGTTGGTTTCGGATTGGTTAAAGCATATTAAACAAATAACGAGCAAGAACTGATTGGTGCGTTTAGACTGTTATTACTTCATTATTGGCCCTACGGGTGCAACAGTATATTAAAATTCCCATAGACACTAGTGCTATAATGCCCATACTTCAAAATTCTTTTAAAAATACTCAGAACTCTCACAGGTACTTAAGCTACACAGAAAAATGACGATTATGTCATCTTTTATTTTGTTTTCAATTTTTGGTGGGTTGACCTTTTGACTTTTCGAGAAATTCTCACCCAAAGAGGACGACCCCTATCTTTCCCAAAGCGGAAAAGTAGCCATCACGAAAAACGATCCCTCCACAACATGGCAAAATAGCGCCACTTTCGAGCTCAATTGCACCCAAAATGCTCGGAATTGGAAGGCCCAAGTCTGGGCCAGAGGTTCATTGCCATATTTCTTCAATTCCCCAATTAAATGGCTCTCATCAGAACTCTCTAATATAGAATATTTTAAGGGTATAACATTTAGCTGGGCGGATGGGTTTGGTTCTTACAGTGTGCACCCCTACATGTATTTCTCAACATCCGTTGACAGCGAAAGAGGTTAGCTCCTGGATGACACGTGACAGGGCGGGGCGAGACCTTGGTCTGGTGCCATTACAGCGTTCCCCAAGTTTCTTCATTGGCTTTTTCAGGGTGCTGACCTGCGCTATTTGCAACAGCAGATAACCCAACGAGAAGATGTCGCCCTCCACGGTGTAACCTACCTCCCCCGCGAGGACCTCGTGGGGCACATGTGGGAAGATCTGGGCGGTCTCCCTCTGTTCTGCCTTGGAGAGGAACATGGGCCCCTTGGCTTCGTTTTTCTTGCAAGCCTTGCCCATGTCGATGAGTTTAGCCCGCCACATGTTTCTGTTCGGGTCACGCCACAAGAGGGCGTTGTTTGTCTTCAAATCACAGTGCAGGTAGTCTTTCGAGTGGAGATGGGCAAGCCCTCTCGCGATATCGTTGGCGATCCACACCCAGTTGTGTTTGAAAGGCATGTACTTCTTGGAGCGAATGGCGTCAGCCACAGACAACCCCATCATGGAGTTGGTGTTCCCGATGAACTCCATTACGATGGCGGAGAGATCTTGGCTCCTCTGGCTCCTGATGATTCCGTACAGCTTGGGGAAGGCCCAGTGGTCTTGAACAGCCTGCATTGCGGCTACCTCCCTCCATACATCACCATCCTGAACCAGATGCGATTTGCAAAACTTGACGGCTACCAGAGGGCGCTTGGAGCTCAGCAGCCGCATCAGGTTCACTTCCCCGAAGGTCCCTTGGCCGAGCGTGACGGCCGCTCCGTTGACCGTGATCGCCTCGAAATCGGACGGTCTGTACACGGTGCACTTCAGTTCTCTGGTGAAGCCGTTGGTCGTCAGCGGAATCATGGTCAATCTCCCCGGCTCGGCAGGCCTCTTGGGTTTCCTCGGCTGTTGAAACTGTGCACCGTTCTGAAGAATTGGTTTAGGTTTCACTGGCAAAAGGTTGCGGGCATTTTGAGCGGCAACCGAGGATGGAAGCGCCGGGAGCGGTCGACAGACGAAGGGGGCGGGGTTGTCGTATTGACGTCCTTTCCGTGGAGCCTGTGGTGAGTTTTGGATCTGCTTGGGAACCGGTTTAACGGTCACCACCATTGGCTTCGGAATGTTTTCGTCTCCAGTTGACTTCTACGTTGTGGAGAAAAAAGACTTACTCACTTTGTGATTCCAAATTCCATGAAGATAATCTTTTTTTTAAAGAGTATTTTATCTGAGACACCCATGAAGAATAAAATAGTTTAGCAACATGAAAACATAGTCTAGCAAAATGGTGGACCAACTGCGATCTACAAAAGAGAGGGAAACATTTGGCATACCTTTGCTTTATTTTGGAGATCTTTGTTGTTCAGTTTCGTAAGGGGTCTTCCCGCCTGATGACCTTTCCTCTCAGAATACTTGGTTGTCAAGTTGTCCACCACGGGACTATCTTGCCTAGCGGGCATCATCTTGGTCACAACAATATCTGTTCGAGTGCCGCGATTGGCGGGCAAGACTTGCACTTGTTTTGGCCGATACTCGTTGGTGAAGTTTTGCTTCTCCTGCATGGGGAAAAAACCTACAAGTGTGATTTTATTAATTGAATATTGCCAATTGTTGTTTGCACTCTAAAGTTTAGGAATTTCATTTTCAGGGAAGGGTGCTTGGTGAACAGTCAAAATAAAAGCCTGTATAATTTGCGGGAAAGAAGCTGAGTGTTTTGAAGTTGTCCATCTGGGAAAATTTAAACTCAAATGCTCCCTCACTGGTATGCTTACCTTTTCCCCTTGTTTCTGAGTGCGTGTTGGCCGGACAGCAGCATCAAGCAATGACGGGTTTCTTGCACTCTGCTCGTCGTCGGTTGCGGTTGCTATGGTGACCGGAAGAGGAGGCAATGGGCGAATCTGGTTCTTCTTGCCTTTCGTCCCAGATTTTCGCTTCTTGGAGCCTTTTTTGCTATTGATCAATAATTTGTTGATAAACAAAAACAACAATGACATAAACACTTCAAGAGCACACGTGGTATTTTAATTCTGGGCCAGATTCGGGGGTAGAATCAGACGCTACATGTTCACTAATTTTGTGGCCAGTTTCTAAAATTCTCAAGTTCTGCGTGAACTTTTGCGATATCTTTATTTTCAGGTCGGCTTCTACTGAATATTGCTCTGAATAATATATCACCAGGAACTTCGTTGAATATGCAACATCATTTATATACAACAGTATGCATATGCAACAGCATGAATATGCAAAACTGTGATTCTCACCTCTTTCTTGGCTTCTTAGCTGCTTCAGACGTAGTTTTCTGCTCGTGTCGCAGCAAGCTCACGCCCACTTGTCCAGGGTTCCAGCATCTCTTGGAACTCCTCGTAGATGCTTGAGGGTCTTTGTCCTGGATCGACACATCATCGACATCACGCGCACCGTGTGTGATGTCTTGTCGCGCTCGTTGCTGTTTGGTTGTACTCTGTGTGGCAAAATGATGAATCAATAATTAATATTCAACAATGAAAAAAATATCACCAAAGACAGCACTGCAGATTCAGGTGTGGGAGCGAATAACCTGCCGGTGTTTGTTGACATTGAGGTAGTTGTTATGTGTATAATAATACAGTTATGGGCTAACACTTCAACAGGCTTGTACTTTGGAATACATATTAACCTGTCTAAATTACACTAGTTTTGCTGTGTAATTCCCTTGGCTTTAGGTACAGAATTACTTTGTACATTAAAGGAACTTTTTCAGTTAATGCACAAGTCTTCATTGTGTTGAGAATAACTTTAAAAATGTAAAAAAAAAGTCTATAAAATTGAAGACGAAGTTGTCTGGTGTAATCTCACCTGGTCAGATTTGACCAATGGCTGACGAGAAAGAAGAGACGACCCCTCGGGGTAAGGCGCCACCTTGCGCCCAGAGAGGCGTTTGCCGGGTCTCGTCTCATCCGCACTTGAGGGACTTCGGCCGCGGGTCGCAGCCACATGTTGATGGTGTCTACCGAAGTCCGAGGGTTTGGGTTGGGGCTGGTAGGGCTCGTCATGGCCCGGGGTGCAGCAGAGGAATAGCCGGCGCAGCGGCAGCGTGAAGACACGGTGAAACCTTAAGCGGTACAAGACAACCGTATCATCATCGCCTGTGCTTGACTAGTATAACGAGGGAAAACTAGACACTCAAGGTATGACGAGGATAACACGCTTCAAAGGTATGTTGTAGAGCAAGATCAAGTCTACCATTTACTTATGGGTTTACAGATTCTTTAAGACACCACCCAAAACAAAACAAAAACAACATAAACAAAGCAATCCTCTTAGTAAAGCTGGTATCAGCGCACAAAATTCTACACAACAATATTGATCCGGAATGGCCATTCCGTCGAAGTCTTTTTCATGCAGCTGGTCCGTACCCAAACGGGCCGGATTGATCCCATTCGCTGGCATCACGGGGTAATCCTTTACGGTAGCACTGCCCGGGTCACGTGACAGCCAGTCAGTTATATATTGACTCGGTAAGTCAGTGAGATTTCTACAAAGAGGGCACGAGTCTAAAAAGAAGAAAACTCACGTGCTCTTCCCTCTGCTGTATGAGTGGTTTGACGGCACGGTAGGCCCGTGAAAGTATCGATCCGTTCTCCGGTTCATAATGATCTGCGTTGGTTTAGATAAATATTTTGCAATGTTTGTAACAAATGCAAAGTTCATAATATTGAATTTTTTTCAGTTTAAAAAAGGACATAAAAGGTGACAAGATACCTCTACTATAAAAGTCAATTCGCAAGAAATACGTCGATGAACAACAAATCATGACAATTATTGTTGGCCTTAATCCTTATTCCAAAAAGTTAAAATGCACAGGCCTAATTTAACTGAAAATTATTTCAAAGCGTTCTTTTCTGGATGTTGGTTTGATTAAAAGTAAAACTCATCTTTGTATACAATTCCCACTACTAAAAAAAAACATCATTTTAAACTGATCCAAAGAAATCATCAACTTACATTTTCACCTCAGTGGTCGATCAGCAAATCGTCAATAAACTCGATTCGAAAAATTGTCAATATTTTCGCGCAATTTTCGCACTTTGAACACAACTTTTGCCGCAGCAATCGTTATGGAGACCTTCTCACTTGAAAAGCGAATTTTGAAAGTCAACGCTATGCGTAAAGCGTACGGTATTTATCACGTCCGGGCGTTTGTGTTGTGGAAACGACGGAAACATTACCCAACATGACGTCAGAATGCAATACGCAAACACCGTTTGTGTTAATCGGACGCGCGCGTATTATTAGCGCGCGCACTACCAATCATTTTCCATTGATAGAGAACAGATAATGTCCAATGATTGGACAAGCGTGTAAGCGCATCTGTGACGTCATGCTAATACGTCGGCCACGTGGGTGTGTCCTCACAAACAGAACCTGTTTTGTGACGTCAAAATAATGACCACAAAATCCATAGATATGGCACAAAATCCATAGAACTTTCATACGTATTTTCTGCGCGTTGGCATTTGCGATTTTCGCGCCTCTTTACTTAATACCATAATGTTGGCATGAATATACAGGGAATATCAAATAAAGGAAACCCAGATAAAAATGTAAATTATAAAAATCTAATAAATATTTTCAAATAAGTTAAAAGATAATGTGAAACGCCAATGTGTCCTCTTTCCAATGATACCGTGATTGTGAGTCTGTGGCCTCGGATGACTGAGCATTCGTTGTTATTCTGTCAAGGGTCAAAACCTGTACTGGGCCAAGTTTTACCTGGCTAAGATTGCTGGCTGTGGTTATGCAAAGGTTGAAATGGACCAGACTTCGTGCAGATCTTTGTGTGGAAAGAGGTGGTGGACACGTTGCAGGCATTGGGCCATGAGGGGTTAACTTCAACAATGAGAGTGGTTAATCGGTGTCAAAATTGAATAAATTGTTTTAAAGAAAAGGATGTCTTCTTTCTTTAAATTAAGCCGTTCCACATGCCCAGAATAAACTTGCACAAACTTAGCCCAGTGCAGGTTTTGATCCTCAATAGAAAACCAACGAATACTCAGTCATCCGTGGCCACAGACACACAATAAAGGTATCATTGGAAAGCGGACATATTGGTGTTTTACATGATCTTTAACTTATCTAAAAATATTTATTAGATATTTTATAATTTACATTTACATTTGGGTTTCCTTCTTTTGGATGATAAAACTTGAGTAAAGAGGCTACATTTTTGATAATTTAATACTTTTATTTAATTCAAATCACACTTCAGTGGCTGGAGCATGCATATAAAGCTGCCAAATCCAAATCAACTTTTTGATTATTTTTTATTTTAAGATATTCTTTCATCTTCTGCTCATTTAAACAGGAAATTTTGATAAGGTATCACACTCACTTAATAATGATGAATGCCACTAAATCAAGAAATGTCTCCTATTAAACTAAATACTGATTCAACATGACACCATAACACAATAAAACAAAACTTTATTTAAAAAAATCAATGGTGTCAAACTGAACTAGTAAACTGCATTGATGCATTTCAGATTAGACGTGCAAAATGACACTTCTTATGTTTTTGAGCTTAAATTTACAGTTTTTTAGATGAAAAGCAAGATGTTTCAATGCAAAGCGTCCTTCAAATTTGCACACACAAAAACTTGACAGCACAAATCCAACGGCTCGGCATTTCACCTACCATACAATTCAATTCACTTTCTCACGCTTATTTTTTTACTAAGTTCTGCAAAGAAGTTTGAAAAAGTCATTAGCCTATCAAGATCTTTAAGGAAATTATTTTAAAAATCTCAGAGAATGAACGGGACAGCCAAGTCATCAAAGCACTTGTTATATACAGGGTGTGTAAATGGGTTATAAATCCAGTACTGAGAGAGAGCAATTCAGATTCGAGATAACACTTTATTCGTACAATTCCAACATGGCGCAGCCCACACTTTTCTACTCCAGAGGGCGCTATGCAAATAGACTGTGAACACAACATTCTCCCCTCTCAAAAATGAGGAAACTGTATGAGTAATTACAGGAGCAATTAGCTTACATTTTGAAACCATACTTGGATCATTTGCAAAGAATCAAAATACAAAATGAGGAATCAGAGACATTGGAATGTTTGGAATGTTCAACAGATCAAATTAGGAAAATCACAGTTCAATTACTTAAACACATACACTTGTGTGTTTTAACTGGCACATGGAATGAACAGAACTTCACAATTTACATATGGTAATCTTTAACCCAAGTAGGCTGTCTAACTTGTCTCTTAGGACGGTTCTGTGGTTTGGGTGTAGCTGGTTGTCTTGGAGTCGTAGGCATTTGGTTTGGCAGTTTATGAGTCATGGTAAGGTGTGTTGCATTCCATGTTCGGCCATCTTCAAGCTGGTAAGTGGATGGACCCTTGGACTGTGTGATGCGTTGAGGAGGTCCATAGCGATTTGAACCCTTATGCACATGTCTAGGATTCTTAACACGTACATAGTCTCCTGTTTGGAAACGCGGATGTACTGCACCACGCTTCTGGTCTGTGTATCGCTTGTACTTTGTCTGAGTACTGCGAACGCGATCACGAATATCAGCTGGTTCTTCTTGGCTGATCTCTGTAGGGCGAATGTTCAGGGTAGTTGTCATTCGGCGACTGTGCAAGAGTTCTGCTGGCGATTTACCTGTAGTTGCATGAGCGGTGGATCTGTATGCTGTCAGTAACTCAAGCGTTGCAGTTTTCCAAGGTCGGTGTTCGCGAGTTGCGATTTGGAGAGTTTGTTTGAGAACGCGATTAAATCGCTCAACGAGTCCGTTTGCCTGCGGATGGTAAAGTGAAGTGCGGATGTGCTTAATTCCTCGCTGGATCAAATAAGACTCGAACTCTGTGGAGACGAACTGGTTCCCATTGTCAGAAACCAACTCGTTAGGCAACCCTTCCCTCGCAAAAATAGAATCAAGCATGGAGCAGACGGAATGTGAAGTGGCATCAGCGGCAAACGCGACTTCCGGCCACTTACTGTAGTAGTCCATCAAGACGATTGCAAATCGGCAGTTTTGTGGACCATGCTCAAAGGGACCACAAATGTCAATGGCAATCTTTTGCCATGGATGAGCTGGAAGAGGTACTGGTTGCAATGGTGGAGTGCGAATGTATGCTGTCTTGTCACTGACTTGACAAGCTGCGCAGTGACGAACTTGGTGTTCTATCTGTTTGTCCATACCTGGCCACCAATAGCAGTCACGAAGTCGTTGCTTGGTGCGTACAATTCCCTGATGTCCTTGGTGCGCAATGGTAATCAGGCTAGACTGTAGAGCAGTAGGTATGACAAAACGGTCACCTCGCAGAATACAGTCATCAGCAACTGAAAGTTCATCCTGGAGGTGAAAGTAGGGTTGTAGTTCAGTTGTAATGTGCTGTTTAGCAGGCCAACCGGATGTGATGTATTCCGACACAGACTTAAGGATTGTATCTGTCCTTGTAGCACTTTGGAGGTCAGCTTTGGTGATAGCGGAAGCATCAACAAGGAGTGCTGAAATCCACTGGATGATGATTTCATCATCAGTATGTTCAGTTGCGTGCACTGTAGTAGGCAGTGGCAGTCTAGATAGAGCGTCAGCCACTCTATTGTGCGCACCAGCACGAAATTCGACAGTGTAGTTGAAATTCAGCAGACGAGCAGCCCACCTGGCGATCCGCATTGGTTTGTGGCCAGTGCCACGTGTGGACAGCAATGTAGTTAGAGCTTGATGATCAGTTCGAAGTGTAAACTGACGGCCCCATAAGTACTTGTACCATTTCTCACATGCCCACACGCATGCAAGTGCTTCCCGTTCGCTGACTGAATATTTGCGTTCCGTAGTTGTAAGAGAGCGAGAAGCGAACGCGATAGGAACTTCGTGATTGTTCTTAATCTGTGCGAGTACCGCACCGATGCCGTAAGCTGAAGCATCAGTAGATACGATGGTAGGAAGATCGGGGTCAAACAGCGCAAGTGTAGTAGCATTGGAAATGTGCTGTTTGAGTAACTCGAAGCACGATTGAGCAGCCTCAGACCAAATGAACTGAGTGTCCTTGCGAAGGAGTGCGCGGAGTGGTTCAACCATGGTTGCGTAATTTGGCACAAATCTGGCGTAGTATGACGCAAGTCCCATGAAGGATCAGAGTGTAGATGGATCGGTAGGTTTTGGAGCATTTAGTAGAGCCTCTACGTGTGTTGGATCTGGAGTAAGGCCTTCGGACAAAACGGTATGGCCCAAGAAGCGGAGGTTTGACAAATTGAAGTGGCATTTGTCATAGTTCAGCGTGACACCTAGTTCTGTAAGGCGGTTCAGCACTGCGGAGAGATTGGCATCATGGTCCTTTTGATCGCGACCAAAGATGACAATGTCGTCAAGGTAACATTGTACTCCAGCAAGACCACTTAGAGCACACGACATGAGTTTTTGGAAAGCCGACGGTGCAGATGCCAATCCAAAACAGACGCGCTTGAAGCGGAACAAACCAACATGTGTAATGAAGGCTGTGAGATCACGCGAATCTTCATGTAGTAGTAGTTGATGGTACGCGGAATTCATGTCAAGGGAGCTGAAAACACTGGCTCCATGGAGTTCCCCTAGTAGTTCTTGAATGTTTGGAAGTGGATACTTATCAACAATGACCGCTTTGTTGACTTCGCGGAGATCCACACAAAGTCTCACCTTTCCGGATTTCTTGTATGCGACCACCAGTGGTGACACCCATTCACTGGCGTCGATACGCTCAATGATGTCTGCGTCTTCGAGACGTTTCAGTTCATTTGCGACTTCGTCGCGTATCGAGAATGGCAAATTTCTGAGTTTTTGCTGCATTGGAGGGACGGATGGGCGTACTTTGACTTTGTGTACGTAGTTTGTTGCAAGTCCAACTTTCCTATTGAAGAGCTCGGGGTATTGTTTGCGCATGTCCATTGAAGTTTGGTCGGATGGAGTAGTTGCAGTCGGAGCTGGAGGAGTTGACGATGAGGGTTTCGAGTCGTTCCCATTCACGAGCATGACCTTACCACCTGTGATTGTAATATCCAGGCGTCGGATCAAGTCTAGTCCCATGATAGCGATGCCAGACTGTACAACGAAAATGTGCGCAGGAACACAACGCTCAGGATTACTCGCAAGACGAACAGTGGTGTGGAATGTACCCAGTACTGTAATCGGTTCGTGCAGGTAAGTAGTGAGTTTAGCTGTTGAAGGTTGCAATGCCTCACGTGCGAAGAACTTTCCGAATGTGGATGCAGGAATTATTGACACGGCAGCGCTAGTATCAACAGTCATCGCGAGTTGCACGGATTGGCCAAGGAGTACGGAGCATTTGACACTATCAGCATGTGCAATGTGCTGAATGGTCAAGACGTTGGAGTCTTGATAGTCTGGATGAGGTGCAACGGGATTATCACTGGTGAACACTCCCTGAACCTGATTGCGTGTAGATTGAAATCTCTGTCCAGACCGGCAAACACGTGCGTAATGCCCTATTTTTCCACATTTAGAGCATGTAGCGTACTTGGCTTTGCAGTTTGGATCATTTGCTTTGTGCGATTGTTCACCACAGCGGTAGCAAATCTGTGACTGCAGCGGTGCTGGTCTCGATTGTTGCGGAGGGTGCTCTGTAGTGTTGCGATGCTTGCGTGGTTTGCGATTTTGCTGTCGGGGTTTTCGGTGTGTAACTGCATGTACATCTGCCTCTGGAGTATGGCTAGAATTCTCCCCGATGATCTTGGATTCACGCAATGCCGACTCGACTTGACGCGAAATTGTAATTGCATCAGTAAGTGTCAAATCTGGTTCAAGCAGTAGGCGCTCTCGAATCTGAGTAGAGTATGTGCGCTCAATAAATTGATCCCTGATCAGCTCATCTGTCATGTTACCAAAGTTACACGATGATGCTAAGGCACGTAGCTCTCGGATGTAATCATCAACGGATTCCCCTGGCAACTGTGAACGTCTGCGAAATCTGTATCTTTCAGCAACCACGTTCAGTTTGGGTTTGAAATGTCTGTCAAGCACCCGGAGAGCAGAATCAAATTCATCTTCATTTTCCCCTGCATTCTCTTGTGGAAGCGTATGGAAAACACGCTGACCTTCAGTGCCAAGGCAGTGCAGTAACAACGCACGTTTACGTACGGCAGGATACGTATTTGCAGCTGATGCAACAGTGTAAGTTTCAAACATACCTCGCCACTGAGTCCACGGAACGGGCGGAGTTCCCGGAGTTACGAGGAAGAATGGAGGCGGTGGAATCGATGCCATGGCTTGTAAGAAATCTCAGTATGATCTATCCTCCCTCGTCGCCAATTAATGTTATATACAGGGTGTGTAAATGGGTTATAAATCCAGTACTGAGAGAGAGCAATTCAGATTCGAGATAACACTTTATTCGTACAATTCCAACATGGCGCAGCCCACACTTTTCTACTCCAGAGGGCGCTATGCAAATAGACTGTGAACACAACAGCACTCTAAGAAGATATGTCCGACTTCCCAAAGAGTGTGATACGATTGCTATTACAGCTGACACCTGCGTCCTCGCTATGGCCGCAGTTGTTCACGCCCACCGCAGGGTGAGTGCAGACCCACAGCGAAGCCTCGCTACCGCTACAAGCCACATCGTCCAGCCAGATGGACCCGCTGCCAGCACCCCAGGAGTGACCGTACCCCTGGTAGGCCACGCCGCCCGAGAGGCCCAGCTGACGGCAGGCCACCGCGGCGTCGTTATCGTCCCAGGAGTCGTCGCAGACCGTGCCCCACTCCCCGTTGTGCAAGATCTCCACCCGGCCTTCCGTTGCGCTTCGACTACCTGCCAGGCGGATGCTCACCCCTGTTACAAAATTTGTAAAATATAGGTGATTTAGGAATGGGTAAAGAAAAACTATTTTTGATCTCAACAGCTACAGTCAATCACAAGTGCCCTCAAAGTCCTTAACACGATGTGTCCGAGCCCATAATTGATACACACTAAAAAGTCCCGGAAGGGCTGATCTGACTAGGAATCTGAGGCAAAATTGACCTGACACTTTTCCAGGTCAAAATTCCACTTTTTTTGGTAAAAACAATACTTTTTCGAAGTCAAAATGACACTTTTCCGGGTCAAAAATGACACTTTGCCAGGTCAAAATGACATTTTTCCAGATCAAAATGACACTTTCCGGGTCAAAATTACAGTTTGCCAGGTCAAAATGACACTTCTCTTGATTCTTTTCCAGGTCATTTTGAACCAAAAAAGCATCAGGTGAAAATCACCTGGATATCGGCTCAAATCTGAGGACTTTTTAGAGTGTAGAATCAGGACCTGTAGTTGCCAAATCCAAGAAAATGTGCCACTGTGTAATTTGGAAGAAAGCCAAAACAAAAAAAACAAAAAAATGGCTGCTGACAAGCTTTCATTTGCCAAAATAATTCATCGGTCATGACCGGTGTTGACCGGTAATCTATCTTTCATGTCCTGAAAATATGCCCAGTTGGTCTTTACCAACTGGTTGGGGTCCCTGGACCGTTGGTTGGCCTCCTTGGCGACCCGGCGCTGCTTGATTCCTATGTAGATGGGCTGGTTGAGGCAGTTACGGCATCGTTGGGTCCGCGGGTGGTGGTACCCGAACACCTAGGATGACGGTGGAAAACATAATTGTATTAGGAGAGAAACACAACGAGACTGAGACAAAGACAGAACTGGGAATACCAACTATACCAATTACAGCGTGTTCGATGACTTCTCTCGCGCTTAGCATACTTTCGTTCTGGGTATAGATGCACATGCACAGTCTGAGACAAAGACAGAACTCGGAATACCAACTATACCAATTACAGCGTGTTCGATGACTACTCTCGCGCTTAGCATACATTCGTTTGGGGTATAGATGCACATGCACAGTCTGAGACAAAGACAGAACTCGGAATACCAACTATACCAATTACAGCGTGTTCGATGACTACTCTCGCGCTTAGCATACTTTCATTTTGGGTATAGATGCACAAGAACAATCTGTAGCAATAAACGAACCATCGCAGGCTACTCCAGGTCATGTGGCGATTACATCCCCTTTGCAAAATGGATTTGAGCCGTCAAAAGCCATGGTGGCCACGGTACGTACTCTTCCAAAGTGATTGGAATCAACTCCCCCAGTCCATCACCTCCCTGAAGTCCCTTGAGTTGTTCAAGGCGGCCATCCAACATGGACAGAACTGAACCCACTCTGCACCCCATGGCGTCATGGGCCAAGTTTGGCCTGTTGCCATGTTTCCAGATGAAGATGAAGATGAAGATGAAGAAATGCCGGGTATATGTTTGAAATTAACTTAACTTTCCTTGCACCGTCTCGTACTCATGTGAAGTGAAGCTGAGACACTTTGAATCCCACGCCACCGCAGCGTTAGCCTTAGCCACCATGTTTCTGCATTGTATTCTGGGATACTTACCGGGTCGGTTACTTGGGCCAAGCTCGAGTAAGCGCGAGAAGTCATGTGAGCGTTAAATCGAAAGCAGTCGTGCTCGCCCGAGTAAGCGTAGGGAGGTAATCGAACACACTATATGAGAATGATGCTGTGTCCCAATTATTTTGCTATGCATGGCAATGATACATAGAGTCTATTGGAAGTGGCTGCAGCGGCTTCCATAGGCACGTGTGTAAGTTCCAGCAAAGCCAAGTAATTCAGACAAGGTCTTATAAGGCTACGGCTAGCGATAACACAAAGGTCTATGGGAAGAGGATAGGCATGTGTAGCTTTGGCCAAATTCGCGCAAGGACTATAGTTGACCAATGGTTAACTAACGTTTGCCCGAACTCTGTCTAGTCGACGGTGGTTGACTACGCTAGTTGACTATTTGGAACCAGCCTACTGGGGTTGGTTGCTTTGCTGGTTACCAATAGCCCTGCGCATTCATAACGCTAGCAGAGAGCCAGGATCCAGAAGTTTTGCGATGACATTTTGACCAGCGTTTGACTAGAGACGTTCGCACGTTGCTATCAGTGCGCAGGCGTAAGGTACGTCACAAATCAACCACTAGTCGACTAATGGTCCTTGCCCGAACTTGCCCTTAGCTGTTTGTTGTCAAGCAAGTCGGACATGGTGTGAGTTTAGGGGTTGTAATATCTCACTGGTCCCATTGTAGTGTTCACCTGTTTCCATGATGCATATTGGGGAAAGTCTGGTTCCCTGACTATTCCCTGATGACTCCTAGCTTAGGTAGCAATTAAAGCTAGAGTCCATCATTTGCAGCCATCCGAAAAGTAACTGGCGTAATTATTGTTGAAAAACATACTTGGTTGAAAGATAGTAAGGGAACTAAACTCCCTGTGAAATTATTCTTTCTGGGAAGCTGTCATTTGAAGTAAGCAACGAAAGAAGGCATTTCCAACGGTGATTCTTAAGAAGCACCGTAGGAAAATTTAAATTAGTAGTTCGTTCTGTTATTCAGCGCAGCGCGCACAAGTATTGGAACGACGCACACGCACGCGCGCGCGGTTGTTATAATTTGTTGGATCAGTGCGCGACGTCGCGTATATAGCTGCAATTAAAAACAATTCAAAACATGATTCAGTAACTTTTGATTTGAAATTGAGATCTTAGAATGCTGTTTTTCTCGGAATGTACAGCTGAAGCTCAGCTGAAACTTCATTAGGTTAGTTGCTCAGTATCCTTCATTAGATTTTGAACTCTTTTGTTGCTTCAAACGAACAAAATGTACAAATTACAAATGATGGACTGTAGCTTTAACCATCCACTTTTTAAATTGAAGCCGGGGAACAACACTCAAACTTTCTACGTAAATTTCGTATCTGGGTAAATTTCATATCTCTCCTAAAAAAGAATAATGGATCAAGCACATTTATGCACAAAGCAGGAATAAAAAAAAATGCCTGAAAACAATCACAAGGAATATTCACTGCATTACACTTTCCCTTCTAACCAATATTTTCCTAAGCATAAACCTCCTATGCTCTGCACATATCCACATTTACGAGCTTCACGAAATTAAAACTAAAATTTTACTAAAAGTTGTTGACATGTACTTACTTCTTCGCACACGTCCTGCCATCGGATATAGTAGCCATAAGCCTCGTCGTACTTGCGCATTTTCTCATACATGATACCCGTATTCAGTAATATCCGACTTGCCAGAACGCTGTACTCCCCGTACGCTTGAAGGCACAGATCGAAAGCCTCTAAATAATACTGAAAAATAAAGCCAAAAAAATCTGTCACAACTGAACGAAGAAAGTGTTGAGTTTAGTCACATGAACCAGTACGCCCACGCAATGTGTCGTCTGCTGTTAGCATACGAAATCATGAGATAAAGGAATTTGGTTATACCATGGTCAATAGAGGGCAGTATAAATACAGTTCAAGAAAAACCATAAATTTTAGACAAAGGGAGAAAGTGTTCAGCTACCTTCTTTTGTTCTTCGCTCCCACGTTCTTCCAACACACCTTTCGTCATGATGGAGTCAGCAAGGTGACCCACGTCATCGAGCTGAAAAGAAAAAAAAAGCAAGAAATCACAATTATTGGAGGATTGGAGGATTTTGCAGGATTGGGTAAGGTAGAGCTTAAAGATGCATTCCCTAGAGCTTAAAGATGCATTCCCTAGAGCTTAAAGATGTATTCCCTAGAGCTTAAAGATGTATTCCCTAGAGCTTAAAGATGCATTCCCTAAACCTTAAAGATGCATTCCATAGAGCTTAAAGATGCATTCCCTAGAGCTTAAAGATGCATTCCCTAAACCTTAAAGCTGCATTCCCTAGAGCTTAAAGATGCATTCCCTAGAGCTTAAAGATGCATTCTCTAGACCTTAAAGATGCATTCCCTAAACCTTAAAGCTGCATTCCCTAGAGCTTAAAGATGCATTCCCTAGAGCTTAAAGATGCATTCCCTAGAGCTTAAAGATGCATTCCCTAAACCTTAAAGATGCATTCCCTAAACCTTAAAGATGCATTCCCTAGAGCTTAAAGATGCATTCCCTAAACCTTAAAGCTGCATTCCCTAGAGCTTAAAGATGCATTCCCTAGAGCTTAAAGAAGATGCATTCCCTGTGCGATTTTCGAGTGTCACCTTAAAGAGAGATTTGTTGTTTCAACTGCTTTTTTCCAAGCAACATAAAAGTTACTCACTTTTGAATGAGACATTGAACAAAAATGTCAAACAACCTTTTAGTTATTTAATTATTACTTCACAAAATTTGGATTATTGGCTGCCAGACCATAATTCGGCTCTCGCAGGGTGGGTTATTTGTGCACAAAATGAAAGTCTTTTTT